TGGGTCGATTACCCTAGTAGAACAAATCTGCACAAGTATCAAGCTGTCGATAATTTCACCCCTTTATAAATTCCAACTGAGGAGTTCGTCCAAGCCACCCATCGTTCGGAATAAGAACACCATTGACTTTCATCTGTTCGTTTTTGTGAGCTGGATTTCAACACATGGAGTGGGGAGTTTGTAGTGAAAAACAAACAAACATGCACGATCTCTCACGTGCATGTGACTCATGCAACCGAGACAGGTGTTCGTAAGTCATGCTTTCCTCAGTGAAATCTGCACCAGCTGCATTAGATCACAACCTCGGTTTCTAAATGGATGAACTCAATAATTAAGCCGAAATCTAAGTCATGCTTTCCTCAGTGAAATCTGCATCAGCTGCATTAGATCACAACCTCGGTTTCATCACATGTGAGGTAAGTATCCTTTTTGGTAAATTTTTCATCAGCAAAAGAATAGACACTGATTTTTCAAGGCCAAAGTTTCCGGATGACCTGTTTGAAAACCCAAGCAACCTTATGACAGAGGGGATTACAAATTTGTTCTATCACCGCCAATTCTAGTCATGTTAGTGACTTCATGGTATTATTTATTTGGCATGTTGATCATCCAGACAGATTAGAAATGGCCCAGCTCCTTGTGATAATTAGTAAACACTATTTTCTCAAATGGATTCCAAGTTGTCGAAGCACACAAGTTGTCGAACTGCACAGTACCATGTGAAGTCTGGTTTGCACCAGGAAACCTAGCCTTGTGTGCTCAGCCTAAGCAGACATTCATCGAGTCATGTCTGCATGACAAGATAGAAGACTGGGAAAAGGAACACAAAAGAAAATTGGGTTAAAAGACTGCTACCAGATGTCGGGTTTTTGCAGTCGGAAGTTCAGTGAAGTCACGAGGTGAATTGGACTAATTGAACTTTAATGCATGGAAGAACTGATATGCATGCTCTTGTAGGTATTCACTGTCCGATTGCTGAAGAGAGATCTGGGTGGAAAGATTGAGACAAGTCAATGAATATATTTGAAAAGAAATTGTGGACATGAGGAAAAGAAGGTATTTAAAAAGCAACATGTAAGTGTGGAAATGGAAATAAGACTTATTCGAGAACAAAATTTCAGGCACTACAGGAACCAAACTTACACGCGGAATTGTGTGGATGGTGTAATTTACCTTTAAATAGAGTTTGCGGGCTCTTATCTTCCATAGAGGTACCAGTAATTTGGCATCTTTGGAAAAGCCGTTTGAACTTGAACAGTCCTAACTAAGATGAAAGATAAACTTAATCGTAGATATTTGAAGCAGTTAGCATTGATCTCCGTATTGGTGGCTAATTCTACCAACAAAACTCACTCAGGAGTACGTTATATCGTTGGTCAATGAATGAACAAACAAGCTGGAAGGATTACCCTCCCAATTGATAGTCCCAATCGGTCGAACAACATTTGACGCTGAACACGAGAGCTCGTCCCTAAGTTGACAGCCAACCGCATTAATTTGATGAGACAAACAATGGCAGAATGAAGACCTACTGTTTCCTTTGTTCGGAGTTACGGGTAAGCTAAGACGGACAGTCTATCGATGTGTGTAGAGATGTTCCGCGAGGCTCATCCGATCAGCCAGGTTAGCTGGCATTATCTAACCGATCAATTGTAGGCCTAGTTTTCGGTCCATTGTCTACCCATTGTCGTGACTGTTTTTGGCCTTGTCTGCGTCCTGTTCTCTACCTCATCTGCATTTGTAGGGTGCTTGGCCCTCCCCCAAGCCATGTGATCGCGCCAGGCCATGGTTGTGCGACCTAAAAGTCACACGCACACGCGCCGATTTCCTTGCTAGGTGTTCCACACAACGGTGTTGGTGGGAGTCGCGTCACTGAGTTTACCGGATGTGGACTGGTCCAAACAGCTGGCTAGCTACGACTAACTGATTCACACAACTTCAACAGTTCCTGTATTGGTCGATAAGTGTCATTTCACTCCACCCATTCAGATGAGATGGTGTTAGTAAAGGCATTACATGCTGCTTTTTACAGGAAAAAAATCCAAAACCAAGCAAAAGTATTAGTGCAGTATGATGCAGAATCACACCAGTTAACCGAAACTCAGTGAACAAGACGAACAACTACTGGTGTAAATTGCAGAAATAATAAATAAATAATCTGGATTATGCAAAACCAGCTTTCTGTTAGACCTGGTTGATCAGCACTCTAACTGAGGTCACAGCTGCTCGCTTCTGGTTGTCTTGAATAAGCCTACCAAATAGCACACAGTCCCCCGTTGTGAGGACTACACGATGATTGACGAGATGGTCCCGGATGATACTTGGAGCATACAGGTATTATTCAAATCATTTCTTAACGTGTGGTGACCGATGAATAGAATGTCTCGTTTAGAAAAACGGATTCTCATTGACAACGTTACACACTGAGATTTTAACCGGAAATGAGGCTGGGTCGCAGATTTCTCATGAATATGCTAGTCTTCACGTGTGGTTTGTTAAAACCTAGATTCTATACAGAACTCCCGTGATTCATTTGTCTAGCTGAGAACGTTACATTGTCTTTAATAACCGTCGCGCAAGGGGACATTTAAATTTACCCAGTAATGTTCCTCTATCACAGATCATATATCACGCCTAAGTACTGATTCTTCCCGCAGCAACCTTCGAAGTGCGTAAGTAGCAAACAAAGTTCGCCTGCCACTTCATTAGGCCACTTGACTGGAATTTCAGCTCCTGCTGGAGCATTTACCACTCGGTGATCTGACACTTAATGCCCAGAAATGTCAGAATTGAAATGGCTTTCGGGGTGACCCCTTGGTCCTTGAGAAGAAGTGATGTATCATTGTAATGCCTTAGTTGCGCCCCCAGTTTGTCGGTTTGGTGATCGATTTCACTTAGACAGTGATTGTAAAAGTAAGGTATCATGTGTATTTACTGTAGCAGTGGCTCCTACCGTTCAAAAGTAGTGGTAACTTGTTTTTCACTGTCAGTACGCGAAAATTCAGCAGTGACCACGGCGTATAAGAAGGGCATCCGTTTTTTCCGCCGAGTATAATCTCAAAATCGTTTGTGTCAAGTGTGCTCCAGTCAGAATTGGCTGGAACATCAATCAAATGTATTGAAACGGCTGATCATGCTCTTCAGAGCTAACAAAATAGCCAAAAAAATTTCAACACATTAATTCCTCAGTAGTCAATCCTCTAACATGCAATGACCTAAAAACGAAGTGAGTTTACTGAAGCGGAAACCGTCACCCGTAGATACGCCAAAGCAGTTTAAAAAAACTCGGGACGCAACAATAAATACCCCATAAAGGACACTTGCTTGTCACTATGAATCGACTTTTTAACGATATCTTAAGTGGAAGACCAACACTCCGTTCGTCTTGCAAAAACTGTGTTCACCAACAAGAATCTCTTGCGGGGATATTCATAGTCAAGTGACCTGACTTGGGAGCTACTTTGAGCTACGTTCATCTAACCTTATAGTGGGTGACTGAATGGGTGGGGTGACGGCAGCATTGTTCTTTTTTCAAGGGTGGGCGGAACGTGGCAGTCATCACCTGGCGCAAGAGACATGCGTAGCTGTCAATTCACCATTAGGTTGTGTGCATTAACTGAGTGTGACCTCAACTTATCTGATAGTGTTTTCTTTGTCCAACGCTTGCAACCCGCCCCTGAGTTACACAAGCAATGGTGACGGCGCTCGCATTGTCTAGCCAAATCGACTTATGACGCTGGAAGTGAAATACGGTGGGTTGAGGATAGAGGGATTGACCGTAGTTTCGTGCAACGGCTGTCAGCCCGCACGCTGTACAAAAGGAAGGACATTTACAAGCGCAGTTGAGTGGGGGAAGGTGGAAGTACCCACTCAACTGTGTGCTGAAGATATCTCCTTGACTAGAGATGAAACATTTGCAAACAGATTGCCAAGCTCAGAGAACAGATTAATGGTCATCTGATCAACCACCGCAGCTGAATCCTGCTGTACTTTCACCGAGCAACAGCCGGTTGTCCAATTTTCAACCCGCACTCCCATCACACATTTCGTGTTCCAGTTAGTATGGCACATCAGCAGAGCTTCTACAGGATGCAGTGAATGGTTGGTTAACGCGAATAAATGAGCTTTGCTGTATCAACAACCCTTTGAAGCCTGGTGAGACTGGTACGGTGAGAACTGCCCAGGATAAATCTAGTCAAAAGGGCGATTTATGTGCAGGACATAAGGCCAAACGGGAGTTGAACTGCAGCTCGTGTATTGAGAGGATGTTGCCATCAGTCAGTGTAAGAATGTAGACCTAAGTTGCCACAATAGTCACGTCATCGCAACGGTTGGAGAGAGTTCATTTTGAAAACTTGGATCTCTAGAGGCTTCCCGAAAGCCAGCTCAGAATAACTTGTTCGCTTTCAAAGACTGGCGAATGATATTAATGCTGGACGACTGAAAGACTCCTGCTGTGTCATGTAAATTTATTGTCCTTGGCTGGCAGAATAGCAGAGAAACAGCAATCTTTGGATGTTGGGATCATACAGGCTGTGAAACCCCAATATAAGTTTGTTGGGTAGCTGGGAGGGTATCGGTAAAAAGCTATGAAGGTAAGCTGAGAGTTGTACTTTTGAGGTCAAGGGTTCGATTTATGGCTGGCGAGATAGCCAGACTCCATGTCTAGGTATTCTTGGATAAATAGGAACGTCCGTGTGTTCCCACACTTCTGGTACGGTAATAGTTACTAACGAACTGTCAGAACGTTCCGTCACAATTAGTGGGGTATACCATTTATGGAAAGTAGGTTTCAAGAGACCAAGAACCTTGGTGTCGCAATTGCGTCAACGGAAAGATTAGTAGACCTGTGGAATTTGGACTAGATTACCCTGTTTCTTTGAAGGCCATCAACCGGCCTGGTTAGCTCTAAAGGGTTATTTCCATTAAGTATGCGTTTTGAACCTTGTTTGTGCAAAACAAGGGTTTGTTTCTGATTTTCTGCTTCTTTGAAAATTAAGAGGGAATCGTTTGTGGCACAGACCGTGACAGAAACCAACGCATATATACAAATCCGCAACGCATACGAACTTGCGTCATTCGTGCTGTCAAAGAATTTAACCAAACTAACGGATCGTGCGTCCAAGGCAACTGTAAGAGCAGTCTAACTCCATGGTTGTGAACTTGGCTCCTCCGACCTCAAGGCGCTTGACTATCGAGCTTACCTGAGTGCATCGTGCTCCCAACGAATAGGCGAACGAACGATTCCCAATTTGTGAACCAGAACCATAGGAACAACAAATAAAACTCATTAGAGCTAGCTGGTCGAGACGTATATCAAGTCATATGAAAAGCACTACTTTCCACTCCCAAACCCTTGTTGACGAGGAACAGGTTGTCAACGCTAAACTAAATCGGCAGTTTCCCCATTGAGTACTAGGTGATGTTTCTCGTAAGTGAAATCAGGGCTGTGGGGTGTCAGCTGATACAATGAACCTTCGAATGGTACTGATAGACAAACTGAGGTTGTAATACCTCTTTCGAAGTTTTGTTGAAATGATGATTGCGACATGCACTTCAGTGAACGAGGTGTCCAGTAGCAAGTGCGATTAACTATGGACAGACCGCACCTTGATCTGAAAACAAAGATGTTTGACAGCACTATGGTGCGATACAAAGGATGAACCGAACACTAGTAAATCCGGCCAATAATCCTAAAGATACCGAAAGAGAGATGACAAACCATGTCCAAAAGGTCTTGATATGTCACCGATTCACAAACTTGAAGTCACCTGGCAAAACCCAAGAAAGCAAAAGAAGTGAGCAGCGCGGCAACTTGCGGACTATGAAAGAACTGCAGCGTCTTAATAGCGCCAAAAAGCAAACCCGAAGTGCGATTCGTCGGTGGTATGCGGGTAAGGCGCTTTGAGATTCGAAAATACCAGGCCACCGAAATAACACCCGCTTACAGCGGGGCGCCAACTCAGCTGGACACGCTGTACCTAAACCAGAGAATTTTAGGTGATTCACCAGCCCTAATACGTTAAACTGGTGTCGCAACTAAGGATTAAGATGGTCAAATACTGAGTTTTTTGACGTCCTCGGCGCGCAGCGGCCAGGTTTCTGATCCGTATAGTAATATGGAGGCACCACAGCATTGCAAACTGGGCCCTTGACAGAGAGCCTGATGTTACGCCTACGCCATAGGTGACGCAAGTTCGGAGCATTGTCCCAATCTGGTGGGAACACCGGTTGAGCAATGCTGGAGTACGTCGAATGGTACTCGGGGAAAATAGCTCACCCTCGATAGCTGAACTGATCACACTGCATAGGTTGCACTGGCTTGGCCACGTGCTGCGTATGCCAGTCGACCGACTCCCTCGAAGGGTCGGTCGTGGAAGGGTGGAGACGAGTCTGAGGCGGTCAATGGCTTGGCAGTGAAGCATAAAGTCCATTACTAGCAAACTCAGCTGCGCTGGTCGTTGCCGTCTTTTTGGATGGGGACTCCGAGACGGGCCACATCAATGGCTAGAGACATTGTCAGACATGGATGGCCTATTCGAGCCCTCAATGGCGCTCATGCATCCAAGCTATTGCCTTCAACATATAGCTCCCTCCCGAATCCCCCTACTTAACAGTCCCTCTACAGTGCTGTATTTGCGCACTGATTTATCAGCTCCCGCCTCCAATGCGCAGCTACCTACCCCACCTCCCCGCATCATCCGTGAACGAAACTGTTGCAGCTACAACCACTGTACGACAAGTAGACGGTTATTACAGCTGACAACGATGGTGATTATGGGGCGACTGAGATGGCACTAGTGTGAAACATGTTTGCCTCGGTAAAAAACGAAATCTCATGCTTTTCCATCTCTTGATGACCAACCCAGAGAACGCGACAAGGGGACGATGCAGAGGTAATTAGAATCCCGTATATTGTTGTCTAAGAGAGAGCGTCACAAATAGTGCTTGATCTATGGTACAATACAATACAATGACGAAGGATCATCAACCAGCCGACCGGTCAAATCGGGGAACAAACTAGGCGCGTGTACTACTACTAAGATATGACGACACCCAACATGCGCCGCCGTATACTTCCGGACACGTTTTGTTCAGGAGATGGAGCAAGTTGAGTGAGTCGCACAGACCAGAAACTTGATGAGGAAGAGTCGACAGGCAGAGAAGAGGTAGAAGCGAGAAAGGGAGGGGCGAATCAAACCAACCGGATACCATTAGGTTGGATACAGTTCACCGTTAAATCGTGAATTCGCGTACCAGAAAGTAAATAACAATAATAGTAATGACAAGGCGGATAATTTAACATTTTGGCAACGTCAGAACAGGACTCGGGAAATCCGAACAAACCAATGGGAGCAGGAAAACAATGCCCAATCAATACTAAGTCATACAGATACGGAACAAGAAGTCGAGGTATCGGTGAAGTTTCCAGGTGAGCAGTGCGGTGTTGTGGGAGGAATTGATAGACGAAGGGTAGAATCAGAATCAGTGCGGGATGAGAAACGGAGCGTCTAGAAAGTGCCGAAAGCGGATTGAAAGGCCAAAGTAGTAACGGAAAAAATATAAAGTGCCAAGGCAACAGAGGGATCAAGCATTCGGGTGGTCTTCATTGTAAGGTAGCCAGATGTGGTATAGAAAAGACCATATGGTGGGCTATGTGCAAAACATCACCTGCACTGTTAACCAGCAAGTAATATTGTTCACGGGTCCCGGAAGTAGTTTGCAGGAAATGCGTTCAGGAAGTTTGTGATGGGAGGAACAGCACGGCGCTACACAAGTGGCAGTAGGGAAAGCACGGCGGCGAGTAAGGATTGGCATGGAGAACTAAGTAGTTCAAAATAAAAATAACTACCACCGCAGAAATTGACATAAGATCTCACACATGAGCGCCGCCGGCTTGGGTGTGGGCTATTAACATCGGAGAGAGGAAACTTGAATACAACGGAATTGTACGGGCACTCGAGACCTCGTATATAACAAAAACCGGGCAGTGGGCTGGACATATTTACGTGACACACTTCAGACACACGAAAGCGAACATGCTAAGGGGAGTGAAAGCATACGAGTTATATAAGGGGTTGTTGTGTTGAAGAGAACATGGGGAAATGAAGCAACCACAGATCGCTGAGTTTGTGTTGATTCAATGTCAGGATAAGAATTTCGAGTGATGATCACGGAAGATGCATTATTCCTGGGGCGCTCTGTGCACCGCTTGTGAATGACTTGGAGCCACCGGGTGCGGAACGTTGCCCGTCGGCTTTAATGGCTGTGGCAATTGATCGGAGTAATACGATTGAGTTGACGGACTTGTGCTCGGATAGGTTGTAGTGTTTTGTGGCGAATATAGCCAACGACCTTGTCCAGTGGGTCCGGACGACCTAGGCACGGTGGAAGCCGCAGGGTTGAGTAATGTGGGATTAGTTGAGCCAGTGTTGTTCCAGGGAGGACACATCCCAATAGCTGCCATTGCCGCGACCAGTTGCTGTTGCTGATTCCCAACAGAGCTAGTGCCAGAGGACAGTGAATTCTGGAGTAAATTTGTGTTATTGTAGGCTGACAAATCCATGCCACCAGCAGCCAGTTTGCCAGGTGGGATTGTGGTCGTGCTGCCAACAGGGCCGGAAAAGCTGCTAGTCATAGAGCTGGAAGGCCAAAGACACGGAGATTGCCAATTAGCAAGATGAGAAGGGCCCTGTGCACCTAAGTTCACTTGCTGCTGTTGTTGTGCCTGTTGCTGTTGTTGTTGCTGCTGTTGCTGAAACAAATTAACGAACATGAGGAAATTCTGGTTTGATGACTGTTGTGGCGACGGAGCCTGAGGATGCAGTGCTGTGGTTGGATTGTTCAAGCTCGAAGAACTGAAACTATACGGTCCATTAGTCGTTGAAGTCGGGTAGACCCCCGTAAGAGGGACGGCAACAGCGTTAGACGCTGTCTGACGTCTTCGCTCGGCACCGATTGGTTGAATTGGGACGGTTGGCGGCTGATGTACACCAGAATTATTGCCCAACAAAGACCCACTGCCCATAGGGACGGCGGGGCCACCACCTAAAAATGAGACACAGAAAACTGTAGCGAGAAACAATTCCCACAAGCAAGCACTAATCAGTACCAGCATCAATGACAACAACAAGACGTTCCTATGTCCAGGTGACATGCACCAGAACGCGCCAAGAAAAAGCTTATTCCCTATAATGTTCGTGTTGTGAGTATATCATATCCAGTCCCATCAACCTTTGTATCACTGGCTATGCTTATCGGAGTGGGGTGCGCGCTACATGAGCTTTAGATAAAGCTCAGATGAAACCGACTAGATTTTTATTCAGTGCGTCCAAAAGACCACTATTGCGGCTTCCAGTTGCGAGCTGGGAATCCACCCAGATATTTGTTGAATCTCTTCGTAAGAGGGTGAAAGACTGCAGATGACAGGTTGTCCAAAATAAACAGCCCAAAGGATAAGGGACACAGGAGGAGGAATAGATCACAAAGACGAGAAGAGTGAATCAGGGAACAAGTAATAACAAAACAAGGTTTGATGAGTCAATTGACTGTATGGTCGTCGATTGCACAATTGTTCCATTGTGACGAAACACGTTCGCATTCCTCAGAGGGACAAACAACTATCGGTCAGCTGTTCTGAACAAAACACATAGCCAGAAAAAAAACTAAGCCGTATTATACTATAAAGACCCTGTCACCTAATTTTCTATCAACTTCAACAACAGTGGAAAAGAACAACTATCGGTCAGCTGTTCTGAACAAAGCACATAGCCAGAAAAAAACTAAGCTCTATTATACTATAAAGACCCTGCCACCTAATTTTCTATCAACTTCAACAACAAATAGGGCCTAACTAGATGCAATTATTGAACTCACCATTGAGAAGATGTGAGGAGTAAGAGCTACCGGAACCAGGAGTGCCGGGAGGCATGAACGTAGGTATACAAGGCGGTGGTGTGTAGGAATTTGGCGCCGATACTGTCGGACAACTCATAGCAAGCTGTGCCTGATTGAACAGAGGATGGGAAGTGCCAGTGAGGTGAGCAGTTGAGGTTGCTCCCGCGTGCTGCTGTTGTAACAAAGGAGTTGATAGATTACCCGAGTTAGCAGTTTGCTGCTGGTGACTTGATGAGAAAATCTGATGGAAATGTGTCCCAGGTAAAAGAGTAGACAGAGAGGCGGAAGGAACTTGCTGCTGTGAGTGCACTGTGCTGGAAAGGCCATTGATAAATGAATTCCGCAACTCTGCATAGGCGTTTGGGTTGACGGGGAGTGACGGCTTTGAACGGCTAACCGTAGTGACGGTGGCATTTTGTGCGAACGTGGAAGTGAGCATCGTACCGGACGTAGACACACATGCTGTACTCAGAGAAGACAGTTGGACTGTTGGCTGTTGCTGAACAGCAGCAGATGTGGACTTCAACGACGCCGGTTGTCTTAGACCACCAGAAAGAGTGGTCTCCAAACCGGTGGGAAGCGCGTCCGTTGGATAATCCGAACTAACCATCGCAGAAGACATGAGGGAGGCTGATTGGTGCTCAACAGCACCTAGTTGCATAGCAGGTATTGAAGTTTGATGTGGGACGGTTGAATTCCCTGACTGGAAGGCAGAGGAATGGAAAGCTAAAGAATTCGGATTGAGATCCCCGGCATGGAGTTGCCAATCTGGTACACCAGTAGAGCGAATTGAATCTGGAGCCCGGAGTGTTGTCTTAGCTAGGGCGACATTCGTAACTGGACAGGATCCGACGACTGGGGCTATACTCAACTCAGACGTTTGGGTATCAATAGTGAAGCTTGGTTCTGAGAATGGGGCGCAAGGTTGCGAAGCAGCAATCGAAGGTGGTTCAGATTCCTGCCATTCCGACTGATCTGGACGGAAACGTGTCGAAATTGTGGGATGAACATACTCAGAGCTCTGGGTTTCTGGAGAAATGGCTCGTTTAGTGGGTGTTATTAGCAAGGTATCTGTTGCTATGCCAGCACATGGAGCAACTTCTAAAGACATCAAAGATGGGGGGTACGTATCCCCTAAGGCAATAGTGGTAGCAGCTAGATTGGCATTAGTGCTTCTTTGGTGAGCACTACGCTCGGAACCTGGGGCACGAGCAAAGGATCGTACCTGTGTAGTTGTTGTTGGAGGGGTGCCGGAACACGTTGTCGAATGGCTACCAACACCAACACCACCACCAGACCCAACAGGCGTAGGCGGCTGTGATGAATGAGTTGTACTGACAAGAGTAGGTGATACGGTTAGTGGTTTAAATAGTGTGGAAGTTGCGATACATTCAGACTCGACTACAGGAATATCCTGTGGGTGAGTCACGGACGAAGAAACGAACAGCACATCATCTTGGAAAAGACTCGTGGAATGACCAACAGAAACAGCTTCAGTGGTGCTTGTAGCAAAACCACTAGCAGTGGCCGTGATACTCTGAGTGGAACCGTCGACTGGGGAGGAGCAGGTCACTACCTTTTCCATACATGAGTTGGTCACGGCAGACCCGCGTGTTGATTTTGGATTCAAGGGTGGGAAGCTAACCTCATCCAGGGAATCAGGGGCCGATTCGTTTGCGGTTGAAAGTGGCAAAGCTAGATCAGGGAACATCTGACTGCTTGTTGAAAACGGTGTTACGTTGAGAGACAGAAGCGAGACAGGTGCCGTTGTGGGCGTCATAGACGGAAAAGTGCTCATAAGGTTTGGAACTGCATATTTGCTAGCTCCATGGCTGACTTTCGTTTCGTTAGACTTCGTTGATGCTTTCGAGGGATGAGGAATCAAGCCAGCCGCAGCTACTGAGGCGAAGTTACCCTTAGACGAGGTACTACTGGAAAGCACTTTGGCACTCCAAGTCGTTGCGCTCGGAGCATTCGCTCTCGTAGACATGATGGTTCCCCCGTTAACTGATGATAGCGTTGTGATGCCACAAAGTACCGTACTGTTATTATTACTGTTGGAGCTAGTACCGGAGGCTAAAGTTGTCGGTGTTTTCAAACCGGTTGTCGGGCCCCGTCCAAGATGTAGTGAGGCAGATGGCTGTGAAGAGCTGGAACGAGCAGAGACAACAGATGGGACAGAACAAGCTACGCTGGTCACTGTTTTAGCTGTTCTTCTCGTAGGTTTAGAGCTACTTGTGCCACGACCACTGGCAGTAGCAGTTTTGGAGACACCCGAAGAAAGAGACAGCGTGGCGGTCCCATTTATTTTCGCACAAGCGCTCATGATCGGCTTACCCAAGGTTGAAGTAGTGGTAGAAGCTGACTTCTTTAAGGCAGCATACATAAGTAAAACATCGTTCCCTGCAATGGAGCCATTTAACAAACCCTGAATGGTTTCATAAGTTCTTTGAACTGCATCGACAGGTCCTTTCAAATAAACCATCCGCTCCGTAACTTCATCGCTTCTGGCGCTCTCGATGTCTATCTGAATACCACTCATGGTACGCAGAGCACTAACAACTGCTCCACCTTGTCCGATAACTTTTCCGATGTCATGGCGAGAGACCGGAATAGACAAGCGCTTTTTGAAAGATCCGCTGGTAGACGAAGTTGTTTTCCAGTCAGCTGCTTCACCACCACTCCGGTTTTGGGTAGTGTTCTTTTGTGCTCGTGTGCCACCAGAGGGAAGGACAACTGTCCATGAGTTGGTTTCAGTGTTGGAAGAGGTAGTAAATCCAGCAGATAGATACTGACTCAACTGCGCACTTTGAGACTCAATTAGAGCGTTCCAGTTGACGTCACCATTTGCACTAACCGTGAGTGGATAGTAGCTGGAGGTAACCGGTAAGTTGGATAGAACATCCTCGTCTTGTGGGTTGCCAAAAATATCCATATTCTTTTCCGAGTCTGAAGGTTGGGCTCCTTCAGCTGCTGCCCGCTTCGCCGCACGTTGACTTTGTTTCTTACTCCGATGTTTCTCACGCTTCGCCTCGGTAGTGGCGGCGGCTGCGGACCGTTCAGTTTCAGGCTCAACAGGAACGACGGGGACCGTGTCAACACCTGCGGGGCGTGTCACACTTGAGTGGCGCAAAGGAGCCTTCCCGTCTGAAGCCGCCGTGGTATTAACCTCGCGCTCCGCAGATTGTCTGTGGGCCGGTGATTCAGTAACAGTGTTGACTATTTTCTCAACGCTTTTCCGAGTCCCTGATGTTTTTAGCTTCGCCGCAATAGCCCCCAGAAAGGATGCATCCTGTTCATCCATCACATCTCCGTTACTTTCATTGGATCGCTGGCTGTCGAATGAACCTTGGCGGACGTGACGAACTGCTTGACTAAGCGTTGAGTCATGCCTTTCCGGACTGTAACCGAAGAGAATAAAGAGGATAAACATATGACATATTTAGGGCAAATCGAAGTTACAGTAAGCGCACTGGGGAAACTGAGTGATAACTTGATATTTCAAACTGAGGCGATGCGAAATGTGTTGAAGGTAATCGTGACTATCACACTGATTTTTCTCTTTCCCATACTTCTCGTTCGCCATAGAAACAGCTACATCTGATTGTGTTCCAACAAGCGCACGACGTAACAAAAGTGCGCTCAAAGCTAAATACCGATGATTGTCTTACCTAAAACTAAGAGATGGAAAGGCACCCCTTTCAAAAAGCCGGACACGCCTCTTTGAACCGTAGTGAAAAGCAAACACATCCAGCAACATGGTGGCGTCAGTTTGCTTACCTAGCTGAATAATCTAACAGAGGTGACCTCGGTTGAAGTACGAGTTAGACTATAGGACTTAGAAAAGAAGCACTGAACAGGAGCCGGGTGTGGATGAACATATTAGTGTTCCAGTACTCTACAAAATGCCACTGGCATGGACCAGTTGGTCTGCATCCAGAGCAAATCCAAGATTGATCATGAGAACAAAGTGACTTCGAAAAGCGCAACGTAACAGGATTTCAAATTGAAAATAAATCAACTGATAATTAGAATCAGCCATTTCCGAAGAATGAGCAAAGCCAGAGTATGCTAACCCAAGGATACGACCGCAGCCCGGTGTGGGGCTGAGTGTGTGAATACCATTCAACCGTAAATATGCGTTAGAAGCATCCAATAATAACGGAATCCGATAACGTCAATCACGAAACACATAACACAACAAACAGACTGGGCAGCTTTTCAAGCTGAGTAGAATGAGTGACAGGGTTGCGCTGAGAATCGCGGCTGTAAGGTCAGGGAAGGACATTCAGGTAATGTCTGTCAGAAAGCGAACAGCAATTAGCGGACGTATACAATTATAAGACAAAGCCGTCCACCTACTAAGAACAGCTCTCACCAAAACTCAGTATTTTCGGGGCTACCGTCCGACTTTTCAGGCAACCGTCGGGTCCCTAATCCTAAAAAGGCGATTTGTAAATTTAGTTCAGCATTTCTTCGGAACGCTGATGAATAACTCTCACAACAACCATCACAGTTTTGACTTCCTGATAGGAGTCCATGTTGAAAGTTGACGCTTCGTAGCCGTAAATAAATATGAACAAAACAGACAGATGGGCCTACAACCAACCAGATAATCAGGATAGAGCCTGCCAACGAACACACTGTTGAAAACAGTCAGTAAGCACCACTAGCAGCAGCAGCAAGTTGAATGATACGTACATTGCTCAACCGGTCGACCAGGCAAACAGGGTCATTCTTGGGTCGCATCCACAAGCACGGGAGTTCGGTGATTAAGTTTACTTGACATAACCATCGCATAAGCCGTGTCCAAGAATATGCATATATACATACGCTACCATAAGTGAAAGTAGAAAAGTAAACTTTTCGACACAGCACACTATTTATTAGTTGGGTGAAAACTTTTGGACAGCCCATTGTCGATTTTCTCCTGCTTGAGGCTCATCAGGTAGACGTAATCTCGAAAATTCCGCCGGCCTAACATTCCAATCGAAGTTTTATCGTTTCTGTGTTGTGCCTACACCATACCTATTTATCCCCCACTGCTTGACATTCATCAACCCATTAACCATTTTCTGACTTGATTTGGTGTAGATTCTGAACGCGCTTATTGATTTCTAAATATTTTGTTGTCCAGGATCCCTTTTGGATCAGTATTGCTCGACAGAAGTCCTCCAATCAATATGTATACCTTATTTGTCACTTCGTTCGGTGCCGCATTTCCTGACAAACCTTCGAAATTTTGGGATATTGTGAGCGACTGAACATGGCCTACCCAATCGCCGAATACAGTAAACGGTGGGTCATCACAGAAACTAGGGAAAATGTCACTTGACTGTTTCTTACCACTTGTTTTTTCAATCCCATCTTTTCTTGCTTCTTACCCATGCCCAAACTTAGGTAGTAGCAAATCGCATGTTATTGGAATGGTTCTTTTACCCGATGGTTTCGGGGCGTACCCATCTGATGAGTGCTGTCCGTGAGCTATTCATTCGTTGCAGTTAATTTACTTTTGAGCATTGGAGCCGAATCATATATGGCGTGCGCTTGCGGTGCCACGGGCTAGGCGACTAGTGTAGCGCTTCAACCAAATGGTCCTTAACGCAGAGTGGTTCTATTGGCACTTCGCACTCACTCTAGTTCACTACTTCCTGATGTAAAAAAGCCTACGCTGCTGTTGGTCCCGAATCAGAACGACCGACGGATGACCACTAAGGCATAGGTGAGACATAGCACCCGATATCTGCTTTCTCTCGTTTGATGAAAGAACCCCATCCAGAATGCAGTGCGTAGGATCTCCATAACAGAGAGTGGAAGGTGATAGGTCTCTCGGGAGTCGTTCCGCGGGGTGCGAATGACGACTCTATTGGTCCACTTAGACACTCAACCGATCACGCTGAGGCATTTCGAAGTGCGAGGATAGTGGGGTTAGGTGGGTGAGATTACTCTGAGCGCAATCTCCGGGTTCCCACCAGTCTTATGTCCTGTTTGAAGATCGAATTGTACGCAGCTGAAGAAATAGTTCCAATTTACCTTGGTGTTAGCGGCAGACTCGACTGAATCTCCCGTTCATGATAAGTAGATTGTTATTGGGGAGATAGTCATTGGTTTGTTCACTGAGCTCGGCACTTTGACTGCAAACGTATCATCACCAATCGAGGTGACATTATCAGTGCGTTGTTAGGGAGCGTAGCATGGGTCGGTGGACGTGCGTTGAGTGGTGTCATGTGTGTGTTGATATACGTGCTGCTAGCCGTGTATGACTTTGGATCATGATTAATTGTTTGATCGAAAGGTTCCATTTGCTGTTATCCTGTGTCCTGATTGATCGATGACCACGTGACATTTAAGCTTGATCACCCCGTCCTTCTCGTACTCTGGTCGGTGCTGGAGTGAGTTCTGTCCCTGACCCCTCTGAAGTCCAGTTCGTGACCTTTTTTGATCCTACTCCAAGGAGTTTCTCCTTTTGTTAACCCAATAGTTGGCTTCCTTTGAGTATTCCGGTTGAAATATTGGTCCTTTGCACGTGTTGGTAAGTAAATTGGATCAAGTTCAACGCGTCAGTTGATTGAATTTGTCGTGGAGTATCAGGCTTCCTAATGCAAAGATCTTTGACTGGATTCGTGACCTTCTTGGTCTTCACGTATAGATACCAGTGATAGGGGTCATGTCTCCTGATGGCCGCATTGTTCATAATTACCTCCAACTTTGTCTAATGTAGAAGTGTTGCAATTGATTTGGTACATTACATTATTCCTCTTGGTTTCATCTTAGTTGTCCTTCGGTTTTGAGATCAATTTCCGTGAAGTGGAACTCAGTTTGTGGGCTACGGGGATCTCTTTTCGAGTTACTACTCTGGTTGTGAGTTGAGATATATTCTTCTTCAAGCTTCTGTTGATAAAATTCCCTGGATGTCCATTGTTTTGGAGTACTCTGAACTTTCTTCTTTCTTTCCTTTCTTCCTTTTTCCGCGGTTCTGTAGTACTGAAGTGTAGCTCCGTCCTCTTGAACAGGGTTTGGATGCAACTCTTCTTGTGGTTCATTGGATGATTGCTGTTTTAGCTCACTTGGTCTTTTACGTTATATACAAGTTTCCCGAGTTCCATCCACCTTTCGGTTTACTAGAACTCCCAATTATAGTCGGTTGTAAACTTGATACCTTCAAAAGTGGTGTTGAGCATTTTGTGCGCATTGTTTCCTGAACCTTGTTTCATTATGACAAGGGTGTCGTCTACATAGCAAATCTACAGCTTTGGATTGATGACTAATGTTATCATGCGCCCTAATCTTTGCACCAACGTCTCAGCGATAAATCCCGATATTGGAGGTCCCATTGGAGTCTTTCTCAGCTATCGATATAATTGTCCATCTAAGTTGAAGTACTTATCCGAGCAAAAGTCCAACAGCTTGTTTCATGGTTCCTGTCATGTTTGAATCCCTGAGGTGAAATAAACGCTTGTGCTGCACTGTCACCCCACATTAGCGGACTCTTCTGACCGAACTTGGGTTGGCCGGTAAGTTAGTACTGCAGTGTTCATTAGAATGCAGAACCATTGCATGCTGCATTTACGTAACGATTCGTGTCACATTTGTTGTTCCTACTTTCTACGTGCTCATTTGGAGCGACTTGAAATGTGACGGCAAGAGTCATGGACCTGCCTAACTTGATGTACGTCCTATTAGTTTAATATCCGCTTTTAGCTGTAGTTCACTATTTGCGTAGCTTATGTGCGAGTTCGCGACCACAGAACAAAATCTTCGACACGACAACACAAGGCTATTCTGTATACTCGGATTAGGTATATTGGTTATGATTAAGTCAAGCAGTGTTCACCAGGTCATGTTGTTCTGGACCCTGGTTAACACTACGTTACGAATGGATAAAGTAAAACACAACTATTCTATTCTTATCCAGTCCTAATAATTGCCAGTATTTTCCGTGCTACATCTGAACATGTCATTAACATAAATGTTTTGTTTTCGGTTCATTTTCGAATTGAGCTAGATGACACACAGATCAAGATAACGATCATCACACAGCTTTAACACATTCGGTCACTATATCCCAGTCGGAAATATTTAGGGTTAGTAAAATTCCGGAATCGTTTTAGACGCCCGCATCGGACTAAAATGTCACTGTCCGGTACAGAAAGCATGTGATATGATTCACATTAGTCATTTGCTAGTGCTCGGTACATGGGGCACTCGGTGTGAAGCAAGTTCTTCCCCCCTGGCGGGCTCCCGATTTGTATGAGAGGACGGTCCGTTGTCCTTTCGGGTGAGGGGGCAGATGTTGATGCGCCTATTGCAGTGAACAACAGGCAGCGGCCGGACTACCAGAGTGCGGTGGGTTGTGGTCTAGTGGGCGGATCCCCTATTAAAAGCTGCATTAGCCAAATAGCGGTATCATGTCGAACGCCGGTGTAGATGGCCCTCAAAATAGGTCCATCGTTACAAGGGAGCCGCAAGAAGAGCTCCACGGTGTTGGACACTTTGTAGGACCGCCCATTGTCGCTTTAGTGACATGGTATTCCATTAAGCCATTTAAGGCTTCTCTTTAGCAGGCGACACTCAAAAGCGTCAACAAAAGACTAGCTTATCATCCCCACGGCCCATCAGGCTATACTGGGGAGTGTGTGACACTCAAAGAGCCTCTCATACTAGGTATAGGTCAGACTAACACGATCCCTTAGTCCTATAGGCTGGGGGATGGAATATGTGAAGAGACATACACCTTGAAAATGTGAATGGCTATGGTGGTATATGCCAGCTCCCACTGCTCTGTGGTCAGGTTTTTGAGCCAAATTCTTCGGTTAAGGACCCGACTTGTACTTCTGGCTGAAGTCTCGAACTCGTTTTGATGACCCACCAGGCGTCTTCAACTACAAGCCTTTGACACGTAAAATCTTAGTTATACACTACTCCACCTAAAATGGTGTTTTAATTCAACTAATTCATTGAAATGACATTCATATGTTCCGCTCGTCTACCTCCTATGAAGCTGTTGATATTTTGTGATTATAGGCTTAAAAGCCTGTGTCTCCAAGACGGCGTTTTGAAGATGAGCGCTGCATAAAGAACAAGCAACTGATTACTATTCCTCCTTGAGGAAAGAATACCGTATTCATTTATTTCTCATGTGTTCTGTTCCTAGCTGCTTGCTGAGATGCCAACAACTTCAACAGCACTGCTGGATGCTGTTCAGTAGTCGGTTCCTATCTAGTGTGTACTCAGCACTAATCTTCTTTTGCTTCTAGTTCAGTTGTAGGTTCGTGCAGCGAACGATGCTTGAAGCCGAATGACCGCTACAATTGAGTGAACGGTCGTAATGGAGATTTCAACAGTGACCAGTGGTTTAAATTGGCACATTGCTGGGGAACAGTGGAGTAAACTGGTATCCCCTAACAAGTGCAAGCGTCTGTAGTCAAGATTCAACCTGAATTCTATGCTGTGTCACCTCGAGCGCGTAGCCAGTCCTGCCAAAATCTCTTAGGCGTCGGGGAAAGACGCTCTGAAATATATAACCTTGATAAGAATTGTAAACAGATGGTACCAACTTTATTGTTGCTGCTGGCCTGTCTTGCGTTTTTGGCATTCAAACAGCGCTATCTTAGAAAAAACACGAATGTCACACTCACAGGCAACCGAAATTTCGTAATATCCGAGAATATATTTGGTAGTAGTAATTCTCATCGTGGTTTGTTAACCGAATAGAATAGAGAGAAATACAGTTAATTGTCGTTTACGATATCTATCATTCAGTATTTAAAGTTCGCTCCGTCAACCAGCTCATAAAACTTAGCGTGAGAGGGGATGGTCATGTAGCGTCAACATCTGCGTTCTCTTCTCCTCTACCATTCAGTTCAGAGGGCTAAAAACAGCCGTTGGAACGGCTCCAGTTCTGAGTGTTGAGGACTGCGAACACATGTAGGCAACCTTCGAAACGGTGACGAAGGGATGGTGAGCACTTTCATTTTTAACTAATGCTAGGTTATTTTTAAACGTGTTGTTATTGACAATCTCCCACAAATCCAAAGTCTAAACTTCAGATAGCTGACGGAGGCGCATTTTACCCATCCAGCACTTCTTCGGAAAACTAACAGATGGACCGACTGCAACAATCATTCCGCGACATCAAGAAATTTAACAGAACTACATGGGATAATAAGAGTGCGTTTATATCATCAGCTGCTATCATCTCAACTATTTAAATGGTTGCAAAAAATACTGATCAAAATGAAGCTCCTGGACTCCCTGGTGAATGGATAAGCATAATACTATAATAAAATTAATGGAAGATGTCAGGTCTTCGTCGACTTTGATGTCGTACACAAATTTTTAGGGGGTCTCCGAAAACGAATGATTCCGTGAGCTAATGAAAATGGCTTTGTTATCACCTATATAGCGGAATCGTGCACCTCAACCTATGAAACTCTTCATCTTAAATTGGAGTTGTCTTCTCAGAACCCATGTGACAGATTTGTGAGATATCTTTGGGATCTGTGGAACATAGCCTCGTGAACTAAAGTAGCCTAAGGAATCGGCAAGTGGTACCAGTATCTGAGGGTTAGAGTTATCAACCTGGTTGCTACTGTTAAACTATCATGCTGAAATCGACTGATGGCCTCCAATGGGCATGCTCATGAGCACAGTTCGATATGTCCTATCGATATTGCCCTACATCAAGTGAATCACGCGGTCGTCTAGCGAGCGTAGACGCAAAGACTTGACGAATGCATATGAAAGACAATTTCATTGTTTAATGAAGGTTGCCAAGTGACGAAGCCACAAAAACTATAGGACCGGAAAAAGCTCACTACTGTAGCTAATCCTATTGTGATGATGAACGATGAAGACCAGATAACAGAGGGTCAGAAATGTAGACACATGACTGCACATTTCTCAATCGCACAACCTTCGGGCTGATCTTACCCGGATCCGCATATGTCGGTCAAATGATTTGTGAGAACAGAGGGCAGACTAAGACGAACAAGGACGGTTTCTTTGCAGGAGAATTCGCCTTTAAGTAACCCCTTACGAAAAACTGGGAAGAAGCTGAAAGATTAAAGTACATTAAGGAGTAAAATGTATCCATCAGCTGCATTCTATTTCACACGGAGTTAGGTGTGAGGACAGGAGCTGTCAGTTCTCCGTTCAGTTTATCCTCCAGTAAGGATAAAACTCCAATAGTACTCAAGAACCAGCCTTATTATGTTACCAGCCATAATTACACAGCCCTTGCGTGGTTATTCAGAAAATCAGATCGATTATCGTTTATTGAGGGAACAGTAACGAGAAGCTTGGCAAGTCTGCACCTAATATTCGAAGGTTAGTCCTTGAGTATGAATAAGACATTATACACATAAACTACCCGAACGCTTCTTCTCCCCGCGCATACACCCCGTTCATACGCAGGCATTCATGTCCCAGCCCGCTGTTCATACACGAAGAACACTATTTAAACGGTTGAACTCACCTGTGGTCATCCGCTCCTTCCTGATCCCCACCATCAGGTGAAGGACTGACATTTAAATTCCCCTCTGTCGGATTCGATTGAGATGTTTGAACAGCTTCTTTGCCTTGTCGTTCTTTCTCCTGCTTGGCTTTGCGTCTCATTCTTTTCCGTTCGCGTTTCTTGGCTTGCATTGCTTCCCGGATTGCGCGTTCCTCCTCCTCCTGTTCAATCTGCTCCAGCAGACAATTTGCATTCTTCCTTGCCTCCCCTTCCTGTTTCTCCTTGGCAGCGATGATGATTTCACGGCACTGCTGGCACCGCTTCGCTAGTTCCTACAGGTTTTGAAAATACGACGCGATCAGTCAGACTCGGATCGATCACCAGAGCGTGCGCTCCGTGTGCGAATAAGCATGCGCGCACAGACGCACAGACGCACGCACATCGCACGCGCCGTCATCGCTATCGATTGCTCGAATCGATGAGCAAGTGGTCTGACGATCAGCTGTGCGTAACTGCGTCGGTACGCGTGTGCATGCTTGCAGTATACGAGCAGAGGACAAATGCTGAAGGTGGGTCTATGAGAACCTGGAGGACAGTAAGTTACGCCGTCCCAGCAGATAACCCGGCCAGGCACACCCACTGTGACGGCTTACAACAAAAGACAATAAAAGAGACGTCATATGAACCGCTACCTGCATAACAGGCTTGACGAGACAGCCAGAAGCGATCTGTGCTCAGCCAGGTACTCTGAACACAGATAAACACACATAACATCCAGGTGTGCTATGCACTAGATAACAGCCAACCAAATATCGTGAGACTAGATGAGCTGGCGAGGTTCCCCCGCTGCAAATTGCAGGCGGTAGCAGTGCGAGTTGGCAAACTGAACCGCAGCTCGGAACTCAGGATGAGACACTCACATTGGGTTACCAATATCATAGTATTGGTTCATCGACCCAAACCCTTGAGAGATTCACAAACGTCTGAGAAATTTCATTCACCGTATAGGCTACAACAGCTGTAGCGACCTAGGTACAACAATGACGAACGCTGCGGTACTTAGATGTTTATGATGAGGTAGCAGCTAATGGGTTAGTTATCCGCGAGTGACGTCAAATGGTGGAAAGCTGTTGAACCCGAGCAAACGGGCTTTAAGATGATCGGAAACAACAGATTATTTGGACACAGTAGGTGGAATGCACACAACCCTGATCAGGTTATTTTGAATGACATCGTCGTTTGAAATAAAGACCGTAGTAGATTTCTCCACGAAGTTGGCTTACTGGAATATGGGCCATCTTATCTGGTAGTTTATTGAACAGATACTTTGCGGATAGATACTGTACGACGCAAAAAGTGGTGAGTTGCAACCCCTTTATAAACGGCCGTGCGACATCGACCAGGGCATCTGGCACAGTCAAGATAAAGCGACTGTTTATTTGTTTTGGCGGGTTCACCATCCAGCAGGACAACTGTCATCCACACGTTTGTTTATCGCTTGGAGGTGTAAACAGAACAATGGGAAAAACCCTATCAATCGCAGTCAGTTCAGAAAACAGCAAAATAAAGTCAGCTAGTGGAGGCAGGAAAATACACCAAGCACAGCTCATTAAAAGTTCTGGCAAGACAGAGAAAACAGAGACAGTATCTACAGATGGAAGCGAATTTCACCAATGCATCTAAATGTGTTGAAGTGTACCTTTGTGGCGGTAACGGGATGCGATCAACGATAGAGCGAAACCAGTGCCTCAGATCAAATGTTTTTGCATGATGAACTGGACGTAGAAAGACTCTTCCCCGGCAGAGATGGTCACGACTTTGGTGGACATAGGATCAATAAACGAGGCGTAGGATTCAATTAGAGTTCGACATGCTACATACTCCCCCAGAACCTGATCAAATAGTGGGCATGAAAAAGGTCCATCCACCTCACTGAAATCACTGCGTTATCTTATGGGAGCAATGGTTTATTTGAAAGTTGGATCACCAAAAAGGACTAGTGAAACTGAAGGTGTAGACTAGATAGGAAAAAGGTGGATCACCACTGCAGAAAAATATAGGGAATTACAGCTACCGAATCCAGATCGTGGAAGAGGGTAGAACAGCAGTGGGCTTACAATAATGCTCAATGAAGACTCTAAAAAAATCCTTCAGCTGTAGCGCCCTTTCGGTGCCTAGCTGCCATGCGATCCTAAGGAAGCACGAGGGCTGGGATACGGTCAGGTTGCCCAAACCTGGACAGGGGAAGTCGAGAGGCGGAGGTCGGGTTCGAACCACGGAACTTCCGGTCAGTAAATTCGCGCTCTAACCACTTGAGCCATCTCGCCTCAATGAAGACTCTGGACAACCTACTGACGATTTCGGCCCATCCAGCAAACCTAGCATCCGAGTGTCCATCAGCCCTAGCTCCAAACCCAACACCAAATGGTACATATGCTTCGATAGGCACTCACTTGCAAATTAACTTGGTGACACCCGAATCTCTCGTTCATTTTTGTTTTTCAAATGAATACACCGCAGAAAGGTCGCCTTGTGTTTTATTTGGAACGATACTGAAGACAGTGAGACGTTTGACAGTACTACACATAAAACCAACGAAAATTCAGAACCCACTAGCAGTTTCGCTGTTCCTGAGACTCATCAGATAACACTAGTCTCCGGATACTCATTAAACACACCTCATACATGGCAGGACCATAAGAGTATGGTGCACAGACCGGTCGGTCTGGCACTTTAGTTGTACCATATCGATGATGCACATAAACCAAACTGACACTGACCAAAGTCAAAGAAACCGCTACACAAACAACGGGCGGAAGAAACAGACATAAACATCCAGGGTCCAGAATAAGCACAGCTAGATGAAAAAAGAAAGTGCGCTTCTTATGGTTTTACGCTACAGTACTCAAATAAAATGCAGCCATTCCAACCTCGTTGATCAACGGCACCGATAGGCGACAACAATGCAGGGTTGTACATTTAGCCATATATCAAATATTTTCACCGACAGTTGAGGTCACATCATAGCTCTAAACTTACCACCAGATCATGGATTACGTACAAAATGGAAATATCTGGGATTTGGTCCAACTCTTCAAGAGAGCTCTTCAAGAGCTCAGGGAAAAACCATACGGTTGAAAAACGATAGAGTAATGCAAAAAAAATCAAGTGTGCGACAGAAAAGAACTATCCCTGAAGCGGAAAAGGCGGATATCGAGTAGGGAAATTCTATCAAAACGCTCCATTGTTCAAAGGATTGCAAACCACACTCAGCAATGCCGTCTCTCAAGGTCCGATCACGTCCTGTGATGCCAACTGACTGAAATAGCCGATCAAACGTTACAGTATCATCTAATCCAGGTCGTCAGTTTTGCTTGTTTTTCATCCTACAAACCACTCACCGAAGTGCAACGGCTCGAGCTGCAGCAGAGGAGCGATGCAGCTCGTGTGGTCCGCCTAAAAACATCAATTGACACTATTAACACATTTGCAAAAAACTTGGGCAAATTGTACGTCTACGACATGAAGAAAAATGGCCCAGCTGTAACACCCATTCGATGCCTAGTTGCCATGGGAAGAGTGCACTGCAGATTTTGTACGACCTTCCCATTTTATTCAACTCATTGTGTGGCCAGGCACTTCACTACATATATATATATATATATATATATACATAAAGCTCTAGAGTGAAAAGAAGAGAAAGAGTGGGCGGGGACCTAATGCTGGTCTATGTCAAGCTTTCTGAAATGCCTATATCTACAACCGTTCAGACATTCTAGGAGCAAAGCGACAGCACGAACGCCACTGATATCGATTAGCTGCCTCTAGCCAACACAGACGGGGGTCACGGGGACCCGATCCTGGAAGGAGTAAAACACCAACAACACCCAAACTCTTCGTGATCTCTTTCACACCCTTGTGCCGAGGCATGTGTGATCCACCTCGCGGTTTGCGCCATTTTGAAGGAGGCACGGAGAACAACACTCGTCTCGGTAGATGGTGTTTCGGCATGACCTAGTCATTGGTCATGTTTTCCCAGATTGAAGTACCTGCAGCACAATCAAATACCCGTTTTCTAATCAACTCGTTACTAACATCCTGACACCATCCAAAACCAACCAAGCTTCTGAGACATCGGTGGTCAAATACCTGAGGACGCTTCACACCATCTGTCCGCAGAGGCCGTCTTGCAAAAACGCCCACTGGAAAATGGGTTGAGCAGTTCACACTACCTGCAACGCAGCCCCTGAAAACAGTACATGCGGGTGAATGGACCGCAAACCTCCACTGCCCGTCATAAGTAGCAAAATACGAAATATCCCGGCTGGAACATGAGAAGTCACTAGAATCGGACGATCGTATCTAGCTCTTTTCAAAGAACGCGAAGAATCCATGCTCGCCTATCTGACAAAAGTTATAGGCGCCATGTGGGTTGAAGGGAAAGTATATGCAGAATGACACATCCTGACAGTTATTCATGCCTTCAAGGAGGGCAAATGTATACTGGTTGAAAACCCTCGTGGCATCAGCCTGGTAGCAGTGACATTGAAGGTACTTTCTGGTCTCCTACTTCGAAAGTTGACCGAACACCGAAAGGCAAATCCGTGAAAACCAAGCTAGGTTGCGTCTTGCAAGAGGATGCATCAATCACATTTCCAATCTCCGACAGATTCTGAGACAGCGACGTTGCTTCCAGCAACCAACAGTGATATAAAAGCTTCCACTGACTATGTAGACCGTTAAGTGCCATGACAGTATCTATGGAGCAAAGGTGCCCACTACAAATTCTCGACCCTCCTCAAGGCACTGTGCGCCAACGCCGGCGGACGCGTGAAGGTTTACGGGAAGCTCTTATCTGAGTTCACTGAATCAAGATGTACCAGGCAAGGCTGTCCCTCTTTCGTCTCTACTCTTCAACTCCGCTATTGATATGACATCACATTAGTTCATCGACTTCCTCGAAGAGTCCTTTTCGCAAAGCCACGCGGAAGGTGGAAACGAACCAAGCAAATCAAGCAGTGATTTGACGACGAAGTATGAAAGCCATTTCCAGCAAACACTGCTGCGCTGGTCACTGTCATCTCATTGGATGGGGACTCTGAGACGGGATACATCAATAGTTAGAAGTTGCCAGACATGGCCAAAGCACGCGTCCAACGGCACACGTGTATCCAAGCTGTTACCTTCAGTGCGCAGCTTCCCATTCCGATCTCCCCAATAAAAGTTCACTGAAAACCTTACATTCACGCGTCACTTACATCAGCCACCGTCTCCAATGCGTAGCCATCTACCCCTACCTCCCCAGATCGGCGAAAAAAAAAACTGTGACAACCATATTCACTGTAAAACAGGTACACGGTGTTTACTTCTGGTGATAATGCGAATTTCTATGACAGTTTGCGCTTGTTGTGTCTGCTTACTCAATATGCTCTGAACATGAGACTACACAACGAAACCAAGAGCAAGCGCCGATCGCATAAAAATTAGAAAGTCCTTGTTGAAGGGCTTCACTTCCTGGATTCCATTATTAAAAGGGGTCCATCTAAGATATGTTCTTTAATACCACAAAGTTTCATATTTTGGGTGACTTAATGCTATACATGTGAAGGTTGTGGACTTAGTTAGTAGTATCCGTCGGCAGAGAGTGGCTTACTGAGTTCTCGTTCTTTAAGCCAGGATGTCAGGCGAATTAACGTCAGAGGGGAAGTCATGCCACACTCAGTTGGTTGGAATACGCTCTCTTGGGGGTTTCATAGTGAAATTAACTTTCCGAAAATTGTTAGGAAAAGATCTGCATCTGTTGATACGATCAGACATGTCAAATAACTGGATACGTACGAAGTTCCTGTATCCAGATATTTCGGCAATCCAAATACACGGCTTTTAGAATTGACCTGAACTGAACTCAGATTTGGCGACTCATATTCACATCACAATTCTATTTCAGACATTCATTCTACGGTCAGCATCGATAAAGGAAGCATTTTGAAGCTTGGTCGCCTCCAGCTTCATTCGTTTCTTATACAACCACTACAGTCCATCCCTTACAGTCGATCCATGATGTTTACTACACATTCACACAGATATGCGTTTGCCGAACTACTCATCCTTTTTGTGGTTCACGGTCTATTTGTAGTCCTACTTCGTGACCTACTTTAGCTGCATGAATAAGCATGAGATGCGTTTGGGAGGTCCGTTTGCTAAATGAGCTGGTGAGTGCGTTTATCAACCCTGCTTTTCATTAACCCGACGACCAAGCCTCGGGTTAAGAGCATGATTTCAACAAACATGGTATCAACAAGCTTCCTGGATTCCATCTTCAAGATCCCACTTCTCTCATCCGTGTGCAGAATGACAGCACTCGTCCAGAAACCTATTCTGCAGGCGTGAACAAAGCAACCCTACATGTCAGCCGAATGCAACGGGATTGGGGTTGATTGTGGTCTATAAGCGTCCCCCGTTCACGCCCTAGATCGAGAGTGCTTCGAGGCCAGCTTGCAGCTGTGCGCCATGGTAAAATTGAATGGGAGAGTGGTGAATTATATCCGGAAATCATGGGGAGAAGAATAAACTGGGGACTGGTAAGCGTGGACGTTGCAGATGATGATATAATTCAGAATAATCTGAAAGAAGTTGATTGAAGCACGACTAAATGTGGGCTTATTCCTATCGGTTAGAAAGAAATTGTCGGGACAGCGACAAAAACAACGAGTCTAATACGCATAATTCCTGAGTAACACTGAAATACATATATGTCAACAGCGCCTGAGCGGTGGTGCACATTGGGTCTGGCTACCAAGTCGACGAAACTAACGTCACAGAAATTACGCGACCCTGTGCATAAACGATAGACTTGACAAGCCGATTGGGGGAACATGCCAGCCATGAAGAACCGGTTACATGCTACTTTCCCTAGGGTTCTCAGCCATGTGCAAGATGAACGCGTAGATTGCAACACCAACAACAGAGCCGTTTGGCAGTACCAACTTTCAGGTCTTGTTGTCACATGCGAGCGCTATGATTCTGCCGATAATAGCATAAACGAGAGCCTTTTGTGGAAGGCGGAGTTAAGAACCTAGCTGGTAGTGATTTCGATACACTACTTAATACACTTAACTCCATTGAGAACACCGTCAACCAAAACTGGAACAACACTGGTAAATTGGAGACCTTTTAGATCTTCAGGTGAATGCCATTAAGCACGGTTGCTCACGTCATAGTAACATGCTTTAGTTAGTACCATCTGTTTCTAAAATAACAAGCAAGTTGGCAATCATTAGTTGTGGTTTGACAAAACACGTATTGGTCCCAATCCATAAATTTGTGGCGTTAGTAGGTAACAGGATCAACTGGTAAAAAACTCAAAGGTCCTCGTCCTGTGCTTTAATGTCCTACATAGAAGTCCGGAAGCGCTGTAAAGGTGTAGGGTGAACATCGAAACGAGGTGTTTGGTTCACAGTAGATTGTACACCTTGATGAGAACCAAGCAAGAAACAATGTCTAGTACGAGTCTTCTCTCTGTATCTGCCTCACTCAGACACCATCTGCTGATGTGATTCCACGTAACTTGGAAAGTGTAAGCAGTGACCAGATTGACGAGGAAAAAGAAAGACGGCAGCCCTGATGAACAACCGTAGAATAATCTAACATGATTTGCAGTACGTGCATTGACGGAAGAGAAGGAATGCACACATCTACGACATGTCTGTTTGACCAAATACAGCCTTTTTCCCTAAGGCGGACCAGTTAAAGGGACCGGCTTAGTGGGATAATAACTTAGCGGTGATGCCTTTGTCCGTCAACCGATATTGCCTTGCCGAACAAATATGAATATCGGGAGCCTGTTAACAGCACCCCATCTAGTTCAGCGTAAAAAACCGTCTTTAGTTTGCCAAATATACGCAGGTGTCCATTGGTTTAACCGCTGTTGACCGATACATCCGTGTAGGAGGCCGACCGGCTGTTATTCGCTCTCCAGATCAACCCTCCCAATTATCTGGAAGTGGATTTTTCAGCCTCGAACAATGGCAGGATACGAACCGTTTACCAAGAAGCGACGTCCGCTGTACATATGAGATCAAACAGAAATCCACGGAAGGTCGGTAAGTACACAAAGCTCAATAATTGGAGTAGGACCTAAAAAACTTACATCATTGCTACCAATAGAGTCGTGGGACTGTAAATCAAAGCCGAAAGAACAGCCACTGGACGTAGATACTTTGCTGAGACTATGGACTGAAGAACTGTCATCATCAGTGGTAATGGGATCTGAATCGACACAATCGTTTGTTGAATCGTCAACAACTGAATACTCCAATAGTTTAGTGACATCAGCGACAAAATCCAAGGTCTGCGGTGAGAATTCAGGGTGAATCCGACTGGGTCCAACGGCCAAACAGCCCGAATGCAAAAGAGTACTATCAGTGGGCCAACTAGCAGCAGGTGCCCAAACAGAATTAGTTCTCGCTTGCTTCAATATATTTATTCCAAACGTCCGGGAAGCAATATCCTGGCGTGCCTTAGCCCCACCGGAGTTCAGCTTTGTCAGGTATAGATAGTGCGTCATATGGCAGGAACTTCACAAATACAGATGAAGTAAGATGAGTGCTTGCACAAAACTCACACGAATAATGCAGTATACTCTCAATTCTGAACACTTCGTGCCTTAATCCGATTGCACCAAACACATGAGCGTAGTGTGGGCGAAGACACCTGTTTGTACACCTTGTGTCCCCTTTGCACCATTCACGTACCGATTCATCGCAAACGAGATGACACACAAATGGAGTGCACGCAACAAGTGCGAATCACAAGAGCGGGAGAAAAACAACGGCACGGACCCTGTTGTCGTGCCGATCTATAAAAAAGTGGAGTTGCCATTGGTCGGTCAATCGAACCAATCAGGAGATTGAAACAAAGCAAGCCTGACTCAACAGGACGTGAGCGTAGGCAACCGCGAATGCTCGTAGCTGGCGTGAGATTGGAGGACAATGATGCAGTGGCGTAAAAACGGGACAATGCACGTGGCCGCTGTGATCGAACATAGCGACCTGGCGTACGATCCGCAGACCAGTGATGTCACAGTTAATTGACAAAGCGCAAAGGGCCGATGGAAAACACACGGACTAGATAAAAACAGACAAAAGACAGATTGCTCGCTTCGGTAGAAATAGACATCGTCATTATCTGACCCACTGACATGCAGCCGTGGGAGGGGAGGGTGGTGATAAAGTAACTAGGTGTGCTTCCCTTCAAATCCCGAACGCGCCAAATCGCCAATCACAGTCGCACTTACGAGGTTATCCAATCGCCGCTGTTTGGTAACAGAGCTAAGTGACCCATGCGCGAGGGAGTTTAAAGTAGTCTACCACTCAGGTCACGGCTTTCAACAAGACCGACTCCTAACAATGGTCCGGAGAGATTTCAGGCTGATGCTCCGTAGACTTTACTGTTATAACGCACCGGCGATTAACAAGACACATAGTACATTGTATGTCAAGGTATGAAAAATGGTGTACCATACACCACATTCAGCTAAATACACATCCGTCCGTACCATATTCGTGAAAGTACCATGGATACCGTAAATAACTGCCCTGACCTAGGAACTTTGACGGCCACATTCACACTTGTGCCCCGAATATCTTAATCTACCGGGCAAACCTCTTCCTGAGAACAGACTGGATGACACTAAGTGACTTTGATCTCGACACGAGAAAAACACCTTTTTATCAGAGATATCTCAAGTTGTGTGAGACAATTTCTAACAAATCAAATGAGTGGCGCGCGAAACCAGAAATATTGTACAGTTTTCAGACTTATAAGTAACTGCTGTAAGATGTATGAAACTACGTGAACTACGCGCGTAAAGGGCCCCCAAAATTGGTTCAATAAGTCAAGGGCCAAAAGTTCATCAGGTGCTCTTTGGAACTATAGCATGGACGCCAAAAAATTGTGGTTTCGGGCAGCCATACGGGGAATAGAATGTAAACCTTGATTGATCGTCGGAAGAAATAAAGTACAAACTATCCGTAGTTAGGCGTGAGAAGGCGCAAGGACCGGTCTGTATTCAGTCCTCTTCAAGGAAGGTGACTCATCTGATAAGGCTTACTGGTACTACATGGAACGAAGAGAAGGTGCACGCAGAATGGAGCTTGCCGACAGTTATCCCCATGTCAAGTGGTGTCAGACATAGCTGTCCTCTTTCGCTTTTCCTCTTTAACTTCGTCACTGATACGATTATGAAAGACTCACTACCAGCCTGTAAGGCCTGTGGAGTCGAAGTGTTCCCGGGGCGTCCGCTCACAGATATCAAGTATGCAGACGACATAGCTACTCTTGGATCTGATCCCGTGATATGAATAATTCTGCCTCACATTTTGGCATGCGCTTTACACCTGCAAAGTGTAAAGTGCTACTGCAAGACTGGGTCGGCTCCAACCCTAGCCCCATGTTTGCGGATGGACCTGCAAGACTGGGTCGGCTCCAACCCTAGCCTCATGCTAGCGGAAGAACCGATTGAGGTATTAGACAATTTGTTTACCTAGGCAACTGTATCAGTCCCGGTGGTCTCGCGAAAGATGAAATTTCCATCAGGATTGGGAAGGTCAGAACAGCTTTTGCGAAATTGCGCCACTTATTACGTAGGCGTGACATCGGCTTACCGTCAAGGGTCTAGTTTACAGTACTGCCGTGCGCTCCATACTACTGTACGGATCAGAAACCTCACTGCTGCGCGCCGAGAACGTCAAAAGACTTTCAGTGTTTGACCATCGATGTCTTCGGAGCATTGCCCGAATCTGGTGGGAACACCGGATCAGCAATGCTGAAGTACGTCGAATGGTATTCGGGAGAAATAACTCACCCTCCATAGACGAATTGATCACACTGCATAGGTTGCACTGGCTTGGCCACGTGCTGCGTATATCAGTCGACCAACTTCCTCGACTTCGCACAACCACGTGAAGGGTGGAAGAGAGCCAGAGGCGGTCAAACAATGACTTGGCAGCGAATTATGAAAGCCATTACTAGCAAACTCAGTTGCGCTGACCACTGCTGTCCTCCTGGATGGGGACCCTGAAGCGGGCTACATCAATGGCTAGAGACATTGTCAGACATGGTCCAGTCGCGCCCTCAATGGCGCTCGTGCATCCAAGCTGTTGTCTTCAATGCATAGCTTCGCTCCTCCAGTTAACAATCTGCTAGCAATTTATCAGCTCCCGCTTTCAAGGCGCAGCTACCAACCCCACCTCCCCAAATTATCGGCTAACGCAGCTGTGGCAGCTACAACCACTGTACAGGTACGCGGTTCTTACAGCTGACAATGATGACGATGATGATGGTCTCTGGTGGCGAGGCAGTTTGAAGCCTGGGAAGGAGGAATAACCAGTTCACTGCATAATGCTGAAATGAAACACTGTATATTTCTAATTCCTGGGGGAGAACGTAAATCGGGTCTTAAAATGTCCGCGGCTTACCTAGCAAGCAGCTTATCTACGCACTGGAGGCTAACAGTCTACATCAGGGCTGGGATTGGGTTGTGCTATCCCTGGAAGTAATTCTGACATGATTTGAACATCGCCTAAAAAACATGAAGTTCTTTCAAGGAAAAGCCGTACTCCGGTTTTGGCATACGGCAACACCAACAGCTTTTCTGAAATAAAAAAAAGTCAAAAACAGGAACGGACGTCGAACAGAACTGCCACCTTGGCTGCCAATCGACAAATCGACCCGCCTACCGAGGCAACGTAATTAGATGTGCGAGTGGACACAGGTGTTATCAGCGAGCGCTAGCACTAAGGTAGCAGTCGCCGTAGTAGGAGCCTCTTCATGAAAGTGACACAGGTTAACCACTCTGTGTGTAAACCCAGTCATTTCTTGAGACCGTATAATGCTGAATATTGTTTATCCTCCCAGCAGCGGCTTTACGACAAATAGACCAACAGACGAAATTTCAAATCTGATCTAAAGTTGATATGTCAGGTGTGCAGAGCTCAAACTATGAATAACTACTTTTCCGAAAGCGCGCCAGATTTTGATATCCATTAATTACGCTCAACTGGTGTGTCAGGCACCGCAAAGGTGATCATAACTGAGTGGAAAACAACATCTAACATTGGTTGTCATTCGTTCATGGCATGTATAGGCTTGCAAGGATGTTAACCATGAAGACAGAGGTATCTCGTTCAGTGGTCTAAGACCTCGCAATTGAACAGACATATTCAATTGGAGCGAATTACAAGCGAGGTCAAGTTCGTGTCATGAGGAAAATTCGTTGCTCCTTAAAACGTTTGCGCTCGCACCTCCATTCTAACCGCCCGCCGTACCATGGTGAAAAGCACTCGAAACCGTACTAAGAAAGACGACCAATCCTCATCACTCACACACGTAAAGTCGGATTACACAATAGGATTTTCCAAATGTGAGAAACTGCAACGAAAAGTGCGAATAACACCAAAGAAAACACAACACAATGACGGAAGGCGATTGAAAGAAGCAGGAAAGCACTACCCAGAATGTGAACAGTACTTTGAACAACCACTACTACATAAGAACTGATGGACTGAACTGAGTGAACTATTAATGAAAATACGCATTCACATCACTCTCGTTTAAACAGTCCCTCTCCTGCCCTGGCGCAATTATTGTGGTACGTGTGCACGACACTGAGTATGGACTCCATAAGATGCGATTACTCCACAGTCTGCTTTTTTTGCGGAAAACTACCTGTTATTTCAACCCGAATACCACACTGTGTGCGCATCTGACGGACCGGAACACCAGCAAAATAGCCCGGTGGCAAACGCGTGTCCTGTGTTACATTCACATTCTCACAGGTCCACAGACGGGAAGAGCTAGCTGCAACCAGTCCATCGCGACAAGGCCTGCTGGAATTCAGCTGACTGACTGCGAATATCACTTGAACGACGTGCCAACTGACCCTAAAATGTAGGGCCATGATAGGCACCGGGCCTTACCGTCCTGTGTGTTGGCTAGATGGTCGACAAGACGGCAGTGACACCAGTAAAAAGTTGGAAACCCTTAATGCATAGCCCGTTGCATTGGTCAGGCCATGTGAAACGAATATAAGTTGGTCGCACTTCAAAAAGTGATATACATAATAGGCAAGACTAAGACGATGGCACAAAAAAGGCTTCAGATGAACTTTACGTTTCGATAGCACCATGCTTGACAAGTTCCCCGAGTTTATCAGTCGACCCTCTTTCTTCGGGCTTCCATCGGATTCACAGACTCACGGACAGTAGCACATTCGGATTCACGCGGACGATCTGTGCCATCATAACAATGTACAGGCGTTGAAAGGTATAACGACTGTTGATGCCTGTATACGTAATGGATGTCAGCCAGTCATACATAAATCACGCAAACCTGGCACAGGATAGGAGGGGTTTGTGACTTTAGCTATGAAGTCGAGGGCAAGACACTTCGGTGAACTTTTACTAGATAGGGGCTGTTTTTGAAAAATTTCGCGGAAAAACTGTGTAATAAAAATGGGCATCCAGCATGTGCTAAAAATTACCAACACAAACCTTCCGAAACATTTCCGGAACTTCTTGAATCACACGCAAGTGCGAATGAAGTCAGTTGAAACAACCAAATTATAAAAAACCTCCCTGTTCCGTGCATACAGCCTGAGAACGGCGGAACCAGACGTCGGAAAATTTCAGGTTGCACGTTTCACCATCACTAAACAGTCCATTTAACTCCCTATGTTTTAGTCAACTAGAGGATCTTCCTTATTTTCGCGCAGTTCAAAATGCGGAGGATCTCAGAGGACTTGCCAAATATACGACATTCAAATCGATCAATCCAAGTCACACTCGACGTACTTGTTTCTTGGTTACTTATTGCTTAGAACAACTTCACTTTGACCTTGCCAAACCTACACGTTCTCATACACATAGAAATCGGCTTAAAGTTCCTAGATAGAAAACTAATCAAAGAAACTTCACTGCAGTGCTCATTCTGACATCTCAGTAAGCACAAGTGACTCCGCCAAACCCCAAATATACCGAGTTCGAGTGATTTCCATAAATCGAATCAAAGGAACTAATATTTTGCTCACATCCGAAGCATAATGAATAATGAACAATAATACCTGGAACAATACAACTACGACCATGAACGCCAACCCATCGTGCACGCCAGATGCAGCTCAGTTAATTTTCGCATGGATGAGTGGAATGGTCATGTTCCATGTTGGCAATGGAAATGATACATTTTTAGCTTTTTAACCGAAGTGCTGCTTGAATATTCTTTACATCTCAGGGATCGAAATCCTCCTACGGGAACTGGCTCACGGGCAATGAGTTAGCTGACGATATTGTTCTTCTCGGAACTATTTTAACTAACATAAATAATTTTGCTGCGAGGTCCCGCATGACCTTCACACGTACCAGTCAAGTGCTATTACAAGATTCACCACATTCATCACTAACAGAGGCAGAAACACCAGTATTCACACTCATGCTTCACTCCCGTAAAACCACAAAGTCCATCTAAGGACAATTAGAGCCATAGTAAAAATCAGAGAAAAGCGTGGGTGGGAGAGGGAGCCTTGATGATTTCTTTGTGACTGGGTAGGACCAAATCCGAAAATCAGACTCAACTGAACCGAACAAGGTGGCAGATAAATATGTAGGCAGTTACATAAGCCCTTCCCGAATTGGGAAGTCCAGGGTAGCACTTGTCAAACCCTGACATTTGTGGCGCCGGTGTGACATCAGCTTGGCTATCAAGGCTACTATACTGCGGCTCGATGTGTTCTAACCTATGGGTCAGAAGAATGATCGCTGTGTGCAGATCTCCAGACTGTGTACCTGACCATCGGTGCAGCTCTCTTCCCCCAACCTTGTCAGATGAAGACCACCCAAGTCAGTCCATGACTTGGTATCGAGGCATAAAAGTCCTTACCAGGCAACTCAGTCGCATTAGTAACTACCCTCTCCCCGGGTAGGGGAATTCGGGAGGAGGCAAACAAACGATCCGTGACCTTGAGCAATATGGCTAGGTCACGCAATCAAAGGCGATCCTACATCACAGCTATCGTCTTTACTAAGTAGCACCTCACTCCCTATCAGTCAAACAGGCGATAAGGCCATCGCCTCTAACGTATGCTTCTCATTCCCTTATTCTTCTTATTATAAGTGGACGAAGCTATAGCGGCTGGAGCCGCTGTACCTCGGTACACGGTGTGTAGCGTGGTTCGAACAATGAAAATTTAAGGGTTACATGATAAGCGGACATTGAAAGTAAATTAGGTGCAAAAGTCTATTTTTGCGTAAGATCTTGAAAATTTAACACACCGCTGTTAGCGTTGTTCACAATATACCTAATAAGGAGGCGTAAGCTTATATATACCTAGAGTATACCATTAGATATGGATAGGGTTTTTTCTGGTTTAGAGATAATCAGATAGAAATCGTGCAACTTATATTCACTGATGTGTACTGTGCAACCCAACTGACGCTCCGCCACAAAAAGTGACGCACTTAACACATAGAAGTCGTTTAACTGGCCTATTGACTAAACGCACGGAAGCAACGCCGAAAATGATTCTTGACGTATGTCATCCATCAACCGGTGCGGATACTTGGTAAAGTGGACAGTGAAAATCTCTTTTCTTCTTCTAAAAAACCTATTTCCGTAACAGGTAAATAAGAGCATTTTGCTGATATAATGTATGATGCTCGAATCTGCATACTTTCGGTGAAATATATGGTTAGAACTACCTTTGCTAGCACAAAAGCAGCAGTTATCCATCTTGGTTTACAGAGCTGTTTAGGTCTTCTCATTCACGAGCTTAATTTAGAACTGCTAGGGTTTGTATGATCTATTCCTATAGGCACATGACTCCGAATCTAGTTACCGGCAAAGTTTATGGGATTTGACTCCGACGAAGTAAACGCCAGGTAAACGGACGTCTACAGCTGAATCAATCATTCAATCCAATAGCTGCGCACGCTCCAGGTATAGTATGGTGGACCATCATAACAAACCAGGCAGCAACGGGTGAACCCGTGTCTGTCAGCTGTGGAATTATTCGACGTTGCAGCAGGTGACTGCATGATAAGACCAATAAGAACAATAATTAGACCCCAATAATGGTACTTGCCGGTCATGGAGTCTGATAAGAAAAAAAGATCCAATGGTTTCGGGGCCAAATTGGCTACCGAAACAATCAACTTAGTTTAACTCGAGGAAACGGGTACCGATGTGGCTAACGCTGGGGGTGGAGGTCAGGTGTGCAAACCTTGTTATTCAGATGTAACGTGGCGGCAACGATTAACAGGGTAGAAATTTCCCTTCGGTTTGGAAACCAGTACCAAAAGTTAATCAACTTTTCGAACAGCCCCAGGGCAATTGTCACCATCAATGCAGATCAGTAAGTTAAATCCAGCGTCCCTGTATGATACTGCGGTGCATACTGCTAGGAATTACACCAGCGAGCAGTCCCCTCGAATTACTAACGTGCAACGTGGAGAAACTAATAAGCGAAAACATTCGTCCGTGGGAATATGTGGCCCGTGCTTGTCAACACTGTCAGTGGAACGATGTTTTGCCACAAGCTCTTGAACGTAGCTTTCAAAAACCAGCCCAAACAATGCGGAGTATCATCCCCATCGTAACCGCACTTCCAACACTACCACTATCCGTACTCGGTCGCCCTAGGCTCCTTGGTCGCCTTGGTGCCTAGCTGCAAAACCTTTACAAATGCAATAAGACTTTTTATGCCAGAATGTTGTATTTTGCTGCTCAAACCAAAAACCATTTTAATCTTCGTTCATATTTTTACAGATCACCAAATTTCACTGTCCACTGAAGCAATCACACCTCTGATGGAAAAATTCTGGTGGAATACTTTCCTAGCATCGCTGGGACCCCGGGATGCCTAGAGGGAACTCAAAAGTTAGGACCCGTACTCTGAACTGAATTGCCTGTCCTTCATAGCTTTCGAAAATTCAACTTCATTGTGCGAATACTGGGTGCCCGGTCGCCCAGTGCCAGACGCAATCAGCTTACCGTGGGCGCGCGACGCTGTTGCAAGACACTTATTTTCAGCTCCAATCGCGGACGCGTCGATCGCATTACTGGCACCTTGCCGGCTGTCTAACCAACAAAGGGTGGTAAGGCCGTGTGTCACCATGCCCCTAAAGCGCACATGTAGCCACCACGCGGTTCAGACGACATTCGCCATCACTCAGTTGAATTCCGGCCGGCCTCGTGACGATGAGCTTGTCACGGTTTGCTGGTCCTGATTGCGGATCCGCATAGGGTAGGCATTTGCCACCAGGTAATTTACTGGTTTTCGGGCTCACCTAGACGCACGTTTTGGGGGTTGGCCTATTGTGACGATGCACAATAAATCAGAAACCTTAGCTTAGGCGTTCGGTCAAAAGGCGGGAGGGAAGTGTGGCAAAGGATAGATGTTACTTTCAGCCTACCTGTTAACAAATAGTAGTGAAAAACAGAGGCAAATGTGGTCGAAACCTGCTGGTCTAACCTCAGAAAAGGGGGCCTGAACCATTTGCTACACCGATGAGATCTACATTAACGGGATACTTTCAAGTTGAGTTACCGGTAACCGTCTCATTGTGACAGACTGACACTTGAAATGAGATGACGCTGGTACAAAACCGCGCAAATTGACATAAGTCTATATCTATGTTCAGTAGTGTTGTGCAACGGCTCAGGCACTTACAGTAATTGTGCACACCACGAGGAAGTACAGGTGAAATTGCTGTTTAGAAACGTGCGCTGAACAAGGTGACGGTGGTCTCCAAGGCGACTAAAATATCAGTGTTAGTACAGTGAGGTCACACAGGACCGACTCAAACAAGGAATTGATCGGCTGCCTGGTATTACTCGTGTATGGTCTTAGTTATCAATGAAGCGGGGTCTCGAAGTGAGGTTCAACTTCTTTGAGTGATCAAAACTGCGTATTCTGAAGGACACTTTTGTGAAAAGATGAAAAACATCCCGACGTTGAAGAGACTTGTGCATTAGCTCATAAGTTACGCTGCGGCTCGATGAACAAGAACTCGAGGGAAAGGGCTAGGTACGTTAGACAACAGGTAACTAGAACGTCAAAAGACTAGAATATGACTCACTTTATCGGTCACAGCCATTTTGATGTGCCGAACGCAATCTTTATCCGAAGGGAATTGTGTTACGTGTTGAACAAGTAGACGAACTACGTTTATATGGCCCTTTCGAAATGCAGCCATAAGGCAGCTAACTTTTCGGTTGTCTTGGCTGTTCACATCGGCATTATATTTGATCAAACTTTGGACGACCTCGAGGTGACCGCCTGAGAAAGGAAAACGGGTACGTGAGAAATCAAACAAATTACCGTTTAGATAGCCCACATATGTAATGGAAGTGTAAGGATGCATGCCGTTCCATGAAGTCAAAAAGTAACTCACCATTGGAAGCGAGCCACAAGGGTGTGGCACCTTTCTTGTTCCGTGCTTCGACGATTGCACCCCTACGAGGAAAAAACGAGGTATTACTAAACTACTGACAATAAGCAAGTAGTAAGAACAGATCGACTATGCCAGCTGAGCACGATCAATCGGCGTACCAAAGGTTAGGTGGATATCCGAGTGAACAGGAAATGCATCCTGGTGAAAAATTTACAAGGATTGTAACAACAGTATACCTGGCAATCCAAGCGATTAAATGCGTGTGCGAAATATACAGAGTTTTTTTTTGTATAACGACCTCAAGACAGAGTTTATGGGATTCCAGGTGGGAGCAGCGTATACACGCAAGAGCACGCAGGTATTCGCATCCTTTCTCAGCGTGGAGTATGACGAACCATATATCACTGGCCTTCTTCCGTCCTTTCTCGTGCAATCTATATTTCCAGCCAATTTAGCCTTAATCTATTTAGACCAAACCTCTGCAGTGTCAATCGTCCAGCTTATTCTTATTTATAAACTAAATAAGCCGTAGGTATTTATTTTAAATTTAGTTTCAGGAGAGTTGGAGTGGACAGGATACAGAAAACGAACTGGACTGTATCGAAAACATCAGTTCATCAATCTGACGCCACATGGAAAAATTTACTACCATGTAGAAACTGAGATTGAATATTCGTAACAAAATCATATGCTTTTAAGGCATTGGTTTTGCGAATTAGTCGCAGAGGCTTTTCACGTCCTACATAGTCCCAGGTTCGAGATGGCCAGTCTGTTTCTAGATCATTAGCTGCCGCGACAGAAATGCATTCCGTCGCAAGAATCCACAGCTGATAGATTTAACCTAGCCAACGAAAGCTACTTTACAACTTACAAGTGCAACAATAAGACAAAGGAAAAATCTAACACTGCAATATGAATCTTGTCAAACGTCACCGCAGAATTTCTTAGCACTCTTGGGGAGTATCAAGTATTACCATCATCATTGTCAGCTGTAAGAACCGCGTACTCGTCATACTGTGGTTGTAGCTGCCACAGTTTCGTTCATCGATGATTTGAGGGGGGCAGGTAGCTGCGTATTGCAGACGGAAGATGATAAATTGGGGCATAAATCCAGCAGTCAGTGGGCTGTCAAGTGGGGGGGGGGTTGGAAAGGGAGCTGTGCACTGAAGGCAATAGCTTGGATGCCCGAGCGCCATTGAGGGCGCGACTGGGCCATGTCTGACAATGTCTCTAATCACTGATGTGAACCGTCTCAGGGTCCCAATCCAGGAAGACGGCAATCACCAGCGCAGCTGAGTTTGCTGGGCAGGGAATGTCAGACTCATTGATAAACCATCAACGAACTGCTGCTGTATGACTGTCAGTTTCCAGCAGAAGTAGCCCACTCCAAAACATTATACAGGAGGTTTACGAGCTTCTTTTATGACGGAGCTGTCAGAAAAACGCTGAACTGACATGAACCTAACAGAGGTGAATGTCGGAAGTCCAACAACATATTGCTTTTTTCTCAACACATCCCAGTATTCAGTCGGTAAACTAAGTTTCGACTGAACCATTGGGCAACGAATACGAACTAATCCATGACCTCGACCGTGAAATGGACCCAGGTGAACGGCTTAGACTAGGCGTTAACCTACTACAACCACCTCAGTTCAAATTACTTCAAAGTACTTCAGTCAGACCCGCAAACTAAAGGTGGGATTGTTGTAAATGCTGAAAATTCTCGTGTGCAGATGCACTGCTACATCCATGTGTACTGAAAAACGTCTATTTGTTTATAGTATGAGGGACGCCCAAATAAATTTTGGGCATTTTTGCATGGCCTGCTAGTCACAGACAAAATAATTTTGAAGTGCCACAAAATATAACCGGCATGTTTGAAACGGAGTCCGTAGCCACGAAATCCGCAACTGCGGTAAATTACTCCATTTAATGCTTTGCTTTGCCTTGGCAAGCTCAATTGCTATACTTCAAGCATCATGTTAACCGGAGCGAAGTAGCAATTACATGATGTTGCGTCACAAATCGCCTATAACCTACCACGCTCATTCGATGGGTCGCGCAGCGAAGGCGGCGGTCGCCGGGGCCAACTTCGAACGGCTTAACACTAACTGCCATAGCTACTAAGAGAATGTGGGGCCGATGGCCTGTGGATACGGCCTGTCCAAGCTAAGGCAGCAACCGAAGATCATGGTGATAACTTGGTAACCCCCGCCAATGGGTTGAACAGTTGAATGCTGTCTCGTTCACTGGATTTTTGTTCACGACTCCAAGTTGGTACGAAACCTTAGTCTCAAATAGACACGTCTGAAAAACTTGGTATCACTGCTCTTGGTTTCACCGTGCTCTACTAGCTATGTCGTTATAAGGATTGTCTCAAAGCTAAGTAGAAATGAGTGAGGAAGTCATCATCAATGACTCAGCAAATTTTAGCCGGAAAATCCGAATTTTGATCAGTTTCAACCAGGATTGCAAGTCTATCTGCAAAGTTAACCTATCAGCTAAGTGATATTTTGAGAGAGGTATAAACAGCCCATCCAGAAATGTTGCTTTGAAGCTGAGCGACAGTGTTTTGTTTTCGGAAGTGGTCGCACTCGGCCACACTAAATCGTATTTGACGTCGAACGCCACTGTGGACTCTTCGACGGGATATCTGGGAGGAACGCTGTAATATGGTCCTCAAATAGGGAACAAAGAACAAAGGACGCCAAGTGCGAACTGAACACCTTAGTTACAACTTCAGGAGACCATTGAAGAAATTCACCAGTGCCGCACTTTTCGAGTGTACGCCTGGTACTGTTACTTATTGGATCGATTAAGCGGCTTTATTACAGTTTCGCACCTTGTCAACAAGCAAAACGTCTAAGGTGCTCTCTGTGTTCAGAATCCGTATCCGATGAACAGCTGCTGACGTGCTGATCATTTGAAGGTGTTAGGTTGAACAAGAATGGAATCCGATAAGAACGGACGTCCTCAATAGTACACTATCTGGGTACGTTTCGGGTCCTGGATGTGGTCCGTACGATGGTCCTAATGACAATAACCAGTTTTGAAAATGTCAAAGTTTAGTCTAAAAATTGCTCGTGAATTATGATTCATCATGTGTATTTTTCAACATTTATTCATTCGCCATCATATTTCAGCCATTGGTCGCCCTTATGATAGTGTTAGACCTCGCAGCTGGTGAACACAGCCCCAATGAAAGGTGAAACTGAAAGCATGCCCCAAGAGCTACCTTACTCATGATCACATATGTATCTGACAGTAATGGCTAAACTCACTTTTCCAGCAAAAGGTTAACGAATTTGGAATTGCCTTTATCCGCAGCAATGGTGAGGGCGGTATCTCTGGAACTCGGAACTGGTGCAGCATTCACATCAGCCCCATGGTCCAAAAGAATCATTCCCACTTCCACATAGTCACCGGAAGCAGCTTCCATTAGTGGCGTGAGTCCAGTCTTCGCTCGATGCTCAATATTGGCTTTCCGTTCAACCAACAGACTAACGACAGCAGAACGACCTTGAAAGCACGCTAGAGTCAGGGCCGTGTTTCGGTTGGTCTCGATGTGCGCATTAATATCTGATCCATGCTCCAGCAACAGGCTTACGGCACTGGTATGGCCATTCATCGATGCCAGCATCAACGGTGAAATGCCCAGTTTCGATCCAGTTCTTGAGTTTATTTCGGCCCCATGACGCAGAAGCAGTTGGATTACTTCAACATGACCACCGGATGCAGCTAAACTAAGCGGAGTGTAATCGGAAATGTTCCGATGTTCTTTGTTAGCTCCTCGATTGAGGAGTTCCTCAACAATCTGGAATGAGTACAAAGGGCAGAATTTGGATGTGACGGACCTCAGAATCCAATAGCTCAGTTTTGTGGATATAACAGTTACGATTGTGTTGGAAAAGGTCACGAAAATACCGTAAGAATTGGCGTTCGCTTTGACGATGCCTAACTTCCGCATCACAAGCTGACCAGTAGATCAAGTCGACCGTTTTCCGGTAAATTAGATGTTGGTTTTACTACTGACCAATTCTCGTAACACTTATAATCCATCTCGCGAATTTTAATGACACTACAAGCCTGACGAGGTACAACAACATCAATCCTGAAGAGTTTCAAGATGGGTGAAATCGAGCTAATGGCCTGTCAGACAGTTTTCGGAAACCTTATATAAGTAGTGCTTAAGCATTGAAAGTCCTTCGTATTTCTGTTTTGTTCAAGAATGCTTCGATTCGATCTTGTGGACAATGTATTCAACTTGTTGCGAGCAAAATGTTCCACTCTACTCTTCTCCACAGGATATCTATTATGCCAGGAGCAGGTCGATTTTCGTTCAGATCATGCCTGTGTAAACCAAAGTTTAACTTTTTCTATAGAGGAGAATGTTGGTAGCTCAGGTAGCGTAGATGGTCGTTGGCTTGTTCGCTAAGCTGGGCAATTTGGTTGCAAACGTTTCATCACCAAACGAGGTGACATCAGTGCGTAGTTGTGCGTAGCGGTGGGTTAGTGGTTGTGCGCACAATGTTTGCAACCAAATTGCCCAGCTCAGCGAACAAGCCAACGACCAAAGCTTAACTTTTCGTCAGATATGAGAATGTCGCACACCGCAGACAAACAGTAGTTTCGTTCCTGGACATCAAAGCAACAATGACTGAACTGATTGACTGGTTTTACGGAACTGCTAGCTGATAATTGCGGTATCTGAGAAATACGTCCGATAACTGAGGACATTATACCGCCAGAACTAAACAGAAATTAAGATACACGTAGAACCTACGCCAGCCCCTCCCCCGTGGTCTCCGATGGAGTGCAACGAGGCTGTACCCTTGAACTCTGTGACCTATGGTATCTCCCATAATACATTGGAAGGACCTAGAATTCTCCCAGGTAACAGGGCAGCGAGGGCTGAACTGGAAATTTCTACGGATACGAGATGTTCGCCCTTCTTAGAAAAAGAGGCTCCACTGAACCACAGTGTGCTCCATTTTTATATGGATGGAAGCCTGACTTCATCATGATGATGAAGCTCATCAAACTTGAAAATCACCGCCTGCGCAGCATTGTACGCACAGTAACGAGGTATCGATTGCTCGGTGAGTCAATGCTGGGTCCGACGCTGATAAAGATCGCCTGGCTTCAGCGACCGGAGTATGTGGTCACAAAGCATCCACCATATCAGACCTCATTCTTGTGTGCTGTGTGTGACTGAGAAAAAGGAGACGAAACATGAGCTGGTGGTTAAGGTATAAGAGGATGACAAATAAGCTAACCAGCATTGGGAAAACTTGGCTGATTCCTGCTGGTTAGGAAAAAGAGGTGGTGTGTTTCAGAACCGAGCCAACTGGAATTTCTAAAACATTGTTGTCGCGGCCGGTTAACTTCGCAAACAAAACGACGAAAATGTTTATATACATCCGATAATCACTAATCCAACGAGACCTGCTTCCCAGAATGCTGATTACTAAAAAGAGTGTGATCAGTCTCATTTTGCTTCACTTCTCCTGTTTCTCACGCAGTTTATTTTGAGCAAGTATCGGGCATTGTTCGGTTGGCTCCAGTCCTGGTAATAGGATCGTCGGATACATTTACGTACGAAAGGTTCGCATAGAATTCTCGGATCAACATTGCCATGAAAGTTATGGACAGGAGCATCACGCAGTGACGAGTAAAGTGCAGGAATCAAGGCAATTGAGTACCGAAAAATACCTACCTCTAGTGCTCCATGGGAACAAGCAATTGATAGAGCGGTATCCTTGGTCCGGTCTACCTGCGCCTCAATGTCAGCTCCATAATCCAACAGAACGGCGACGACAGCGCGTTGATTGGCGTAAACCGCAGTATGGAGTGGTGTATAGGACTTCTTATCCCGATGCTCTCGATCGGCACCGCGTTCTAGTAGTAACCGGACCAATTCCACATGACCCCCGTGACAGGCTAAAGTTAATGCGGTTTCCATGCTGGACTCGATACAGGCGTTTACATCAATGAGAGATGGCACATTAACCGGGGTAGGAGCTTCGCCGGTGTTCGCTAAATTAGTCATTTGTGGGACCTCAGATGAAGTGAGAAGACGAGCAGAAGACAGTGAAGCGCCGTTAGCCGTCAGTATATTGGTGGGACCCATAGGCAGTATTCTAGAACCAGCAAGAGGCAGCGAGCCCTGATGTAGGGAGTGAGCTGATAGTGCGTTTGACGGGTCGTAGGCCAAGGCACTCGCGGAATTTGACATCAGTGCATCGACAGAAAGAGCAGCCGCTTGATGGGGAACATGCAACAACCCACTTGGAGTGACCAGACCATCTCCATTCGCAGACACGGCCAAAGGATGATGATGGTGGTGATGTAAACCAGCATGGGAAGTTGGATGACCAAGGCTAGCGACGGCTGCCGCAGCTGCGCTAGCATCCAATGCACAGGTTAGGTGAGATCCAGGATGCTTAAAGCGGAAACAAAAAGCTTTTGATGAATACCGAAAAGAGTGGACACCTGCATTAGGGTGAACTGCAAATATAAGGTGGGTCACAAAACTGAAGATTACCTGGACCAGCCTCTAAACGGTAATTGCAACGTACAAGAGAATAATATACATACAAAAAATAACAAATATATGGAAGCAAGGCGTGATGAGGGACAAAACTAACATCGTCATACGAAATAAACATTGAGAAAATGGCCAAAGTACCAGTGTCAACAGGTGGCCAGACAAGGAAAAGACAAACTGAAAAGAAGACACAAAACCAACTTACGTGATAGTGTCGATAAGAGGCTAACAGCTCATGATCCATGTGTGGCGCTTCGTGGAAAAGAGCCTGCGCGTTGGCTAACCCAACAGTATCCACGACTCCTCCCAAATAGGCAGAATCTAGAGTCGGCGCCAAAATGTCAGTTGCTCTGTCTAACTCGTATTCGCATGTAGTCAGCGGGGATGAATCGCGGGCTACGGTTGTAGTAGGATTCGCCACAGAGCCGGCGGAATCTGCTATGCCCATAGACGAAGAAGCGGAACATTCAGGCGTCGAAAGAGCAGAAGAAGAAGAGTGGCAGGATGAGAGGATCGGGGTCGTGTTGGAAGTACTGGAACCCAAGATCACAGACTCCACTAGCTCTGTTTGGTCCAGTGTTTGTTGGTTCATGGCAATGTCAGCAGCGAATGAAGTTGAAAGATTATCAAGAGGATAGTCCATAGGTGATGTAGAATCACACACTCCACTCCTGGCGACCTTGGTTAACAACTCAACGGAGGGGATGTGGGTACACGGTGTGGATCGTCGCAAAGTGCGGGGATCATTCATACAATCCGGAGCAGTTGAACGGTGACGACATAGCTGTTGTTGTTGCTGCTGGTGGTCGACTAACCGACTAAGGGCAATGGCAGCAGCATTGGTGGTCATTGCAACAGCGGTCGCGGCAGCTGAATTAGCGGGCTGTTGCGGGTGTTGGTTAAGGCTTGAACGGGCTACTCGTAATGCATTGTACGGGGACATCACAGCTTCGAAGCGTCGAATGCGTTCATCCTTATCAGACATCAATTCTTGGAATAGCGCTTGCTGCAACCACAAGGGAAAATTGCCATTCAAAACATCGATAAGAAAGGAAAAATTTGCTGTTTCCAAGCGCATGAGTACGGGCGAAGTAGCGGCACAAACCTGTTGAGCGAGTCCTTTGGAAGTAGCCGGAATATCGAAATCAGAATCAAAATGAGAGGAACGAGTGATAACAGGCTGGTCAGCTGTCGAACCCATCAATCCAAGCATCCCAACTCAACCACCGACTCATGATTTATTGACCACGCTTATCTAGAGTGAGTAATCTGCGACTGCTCCTGCCCTGTGCATCGTATGAAGGGAATTCCACCGATTCTCAGAAAAGAAACACACCTAAACGATTCGACCTAGACTGTTTTGAATCCCGTTGTAAAACAGGCTTTCAGATTTTGTTGGTCACTGCGTAAACAAGAATCACGGAGGTCAGACGAAAAATATGGTCACTCTTCGCCGTTTTAAAAAAGTACTAGACCCAATAAAAAATAATCCGGTGTCAGTCGCTATAGAGGCTAATGTATGTATGTATGACAGATCGAGATGGGTCAAGGGTTAAGGCGCGAACTTAGTGACCGGAAGGTCCGTGGTTTGAACCCCACCTCAACATATCGACTGTTCCTGTCTAGGCTTGAGGAACTTAGCATTATCTCAGCCTTAGTGCTCCCTTCAGGTGGAAAGACGCCGGAAGGGTGTTACTACTTAGAAATTACAATTTTTATTTTTGGAAAAGCGTCAGCATCTCTGAAATCTCCTAACTCCACTGCATTGCTAAATATCTAGGTTGTGAATGAGATAATTGTACGTATGTACGGGATGAGGTACCGCGAAGAACGAAAACGATCATATCAAACTTAGTCTTGCAACCCTCAAACTATTCCAGTCCTAAGTGTGTGAAACTTAACTCGAGATGGAAATTCCATGTTGTCTAGCATCCTAGAGTGTATGTTACTACGAATGTAGAACATTCGAAAGCCCTGTCTGTTTAGACGACAAATCCAGGCCTCAGTAGAGACATTTTGTAAGTGAATCAGACTATTACCCATGAAAGTTCAAATATTGAGGTGTAGGACAAAATAACTTGATATAAGCAACAGTAAGCATAGGCCAAACTTACCAAAAGGCCTGCTCCGATATCGTCATTTGGGTCTATAGTGGGGCCAGTGATTAGGGAAGACGCACTGCTTTCACTGCTAGTTGAGCTACTACCACTCAGGCTGCCCGCGCTGTTAGTAGCGACACGAGACACCATAGTTGAATCGGGATGAGGATTCGCGGCAGTGGTCGTCTTCCTATAAACTGCTTCTGCCTGGGAAATGCGAAATTCACTGGATATCTCCTCAGTAGCAACTCGAAAGGCTGTTGGAGCAACGGCTGTACCTGAACACAGCTTCGGAACAATTGAGTTCTGAGATATTGGTGCAGCGTCGAAATTTGCGTTGGTTGCAGGTAGTAGAAACGATCCAGGTGGGTGCGTAAGTAGAGGGTTCGTCGAGGAACAGATTGCCTGAGAGCCGGTGCTAGTTTGAGTATCACCTGGGGAAAAATATTGAGGAAATAAATGCAAACAGTATGAGTTTTGTAGTCAGAACGCTCCAATGTGCACAATCGTATTCAAACAAGGAAATACTTAAGTTCTAACAGAACACATGGTGAAACTTGAAGAGTATAATCATCGGATCAGCCATTCAGTACAAGAGGACAAGTGGAACTAGTGTGTATTCCATTTTCAGTGGAGGGATCGAAAAGTAGGTCACCGGAATACAGTGACAGGAGATCCAATATCCTCCACCCATGTAAATATTGCTACTAAGTGGATTTCTGGAGGGATAGTTTTCACGAATTAACAGCTCGAACGTTCGAAATTTTCAGATGCCGAGTACACGCTCTTTCGATTGGCAGATTTAGTAACAGTAACAATCTTCTAGCTGTAACACTTGCGATGCCCAGCTGCCATGCCACCAGAAGGAAACACGAGAGCTAGGATGCTGTCAGGTTGCATAAACCTAGATAGAAGTCGAGATGCGGAAGTCGGATTCGAATCAAGGACCTTTCAACAGGCACTGAAAAACGGCGGAGCATTTGTCGTACATCTACGAGCTTAAGAGGTCTCGTTTATCCGATGCTCACTCGTTAGCATGTTCAGTGAGCTCTCGCAACCACTTCGTGGTGAACCTAAAACAATCGTTCAGCTGTAACAGCTTTTCGGTGCCTAGCTGCCATGCCACCCGAAGAAAGCTCGGGGGTTGCGATACTACCAGGTTGCCCAAACCTAGATCCGAAAGGAACTACAGATGTAACTGCCCACAGAACACAAAAACGATAGAAATAAACTTAAAGCTAACAATACCTGAAGTTGATAGGGTCACATGCTGTTGCACAAGAGAGGCAGCCCCGTCTGCCCACCCCACAGCATAGGCATTGACCAATGCGGCATCCAGATGGCTTTGTGGCTGACTGGAGCTTGAAGGTACCACAAGGTTCGTCGGTGCTTGAAGGGAAATTGCTGGATGTGTATGTTGTTGGGTGTGACAAGAAATAGCACGCTGATTTGCATGCAGATGAACGTGTGTCGGATCCATACACGTCTCAAAGTTTGCCCCACCCGCTACAGACAGTGGCAGAGGAAGGGGAGGTGGGGGAGGCATGCCAGGCGTGTTTCCAACAGGTGAAGGAGTCCCATTAGGTAGCGGCTGATAAACTTGTTGCTGCAGAAGCTGGAGTTGTTGTTGTTGTAGCTGTTGGGGGACTGCGTTTGCAATTAGTTGTGTCGTAGGTTGAGTTAAACACCTTGGATAATCAAGAAGTAGGCGCAGTACTGCAGGACTCCCAGATCGAGCGGCCTCGATTAGCATTGTTGACCCGTCTCGGAGTTGATATTGAGGATCAGCACCGTGCTGCAACAGGTATTTGACCACCTGGAAATCGAATGCATCGGAGTTCAGGGATAAGGGGAGACGGAACCAACAAGAGGATACAACAAATGACAGCTGCACCTTTTAGGATCACAAACAAATAGTTCTAAAATATTTCACGCATAAGAAATAGCCACAATAAGCAAATAGGCATATAAATTCCGGTTAGCCCGTAGCACACCACATTCGCGGTCAGTACTGACTACACTGGTGTTGAAATACTGGTATTTCCCCGCCGCATAGCCAATCCAATTTGTTAGATGTGTAAAAATGAGAATGGAAGAGAGAGGAAACCCAACGATTGTCTATCAAAAATCTACGAATTATCTGCACACCCAAAACTCATCCACATAATCTGGATAATGGTGACAAGAAGGTCAGTGACTCGGATTTGCTGCAATAAGTTGGAACATCTCCAGCCGAAAGGTTCTCGTGACTTTTTCCATTCGGTTTTTCACTGTCATACTTTGCCTATCTTTATGAATTCGACCTGTAAGGCATTACTCTGTTGGGATGGGACTAAACAAGCCAACCACACAAGGAGTTTGTGAAACCGGTCTTCGAACCGCAACGGATAGCGAATAAAGCGAAGCTATCTGTTGTATTAAGTCGCATAATGAACGAGGTGGTTAACTACTTAACCAGAGAGAATGGTCGACGGCTTTCAGCACGTGCGTTGGTTAGAAATTGAAAACTTAGCTGACATCGAAAATGGCCACTAGATGTGAATATGGAGGGAAAGAACTAACCATAGCATGACCACCACTACAGGCCAGGGAAAGAGCGTTGGCATCATTTAGTGATGTTGGTTGATCGATTGGCGCACCATGCTCAACAAACAATTTGACGACTTCCAGATTTCCTATACGAGCTGCTTTCATCAAGGGCGTCCTCCCACCTTCAGTCATTGCTCCAAAGACAGCGCCCCAGTCAAGCAACTCCTTACAAACTTTCACATGACCATTTTCAGCTGCGTAATGTAGTGCAGTGTCTCCGGTGGCCGTCACAGCGTTCACGGCAGCACCGCGTTGCAGCAGACGCCGAACCAATTCTAGATGTCCCTCTTGGGCAGCTTCCATCAGTGGCGTCGAGCAACCCACACCACCAACCTCAATGTCAGCCCCCGCGTTGAGCAGCATCTCACAAACTTCGATGAACCCTCCACAGGCGGCTAGTGTCAGAGCAGTTTCTTGCGTTTCTTCTGTTCTTGCATTTACATCAGCGCCTACAATGTGGAATGAAAACATAATGCGCTAAAATAAGTAGTAAGTGTTACTGCGATAGGTCAGATCATTCCCTGGTGTGAAGGCGGTACAAGATGCTAGTAGTGAACAATCAGTACGAACACTGATGTTGCTGCCTCTGATAATGATGATGATGCTAGTAGAGATAAAACCGGATTGGAGAGAAAAAGCAAGGTCAATGTATCGCCCCATTGAGCTTGAACAATGATTGGTGCAGCAAGCAATCGTGATACCTTTCAAGAAACCCTAGAATGTATCTGCGTCTATAAATGGTGTACACACCGACGTGCTTCCAGCTTGTCCACCTGGTTTTAAAGAAAGTGGTACCGACCACCAGGACGATCGTATCAGAAGATGCAGGATCGGAACGAAAGAATGAGGCGAACAGAATTCCTTTCATGAGATGTCACGATTGCCTGCGAAAAAATTCAGTCAACAAATATCGTCAGGATCTACTGGAAACCAATATACAACTGCGTATTAAGTGTTTTTCTTGTAGTATAGATCCTGAGACGAGTATAGTATAGACTCCGAAGTTTAAGCTCCCGAATGTGACCTCCGCGACGTATCAGTTCTTCCTGATGCTGGAAATCTCCGAGCCCCACTGCCTGAATACATGGGCCCGACTTCTTATAAGGCTGCGCGTGTGGATTTCATTGATTTTTACGCTACTGCCTACAGAGCCAGTTGCTTGTTCCTTGATTTCCAACGTTTTCCTAAGAGAAATTTTCAAAAACTAATTGACACATGCACAAGGGACGGACAGAAGCACCCCTCTTGGGACACCTTATCTTATATGCGAGTAATGTTGGGGTCGGGGGATTATGCCCTATCCAGGGGCACTCACCTGAGGCTTCGATTCCAGACGTCTTTGTGGTTTGAGTGAAGAGTAGCACTTCAGTGTTAATAGGCCATCTTCAGCACATGGCTGCTGATGGCAAGGATTAAGTTTGGACTTCAAAAGTCTATGCGATGCTGATGTGACGATATCCCCTAACCAACTAAATTATTAGCAACCCAGGTTATTAGTAAGTTATTAATAGGAATAAACATATGCGACCATATTAGGAACGTATTGATTCTAACGCTATAAGGTGTCATTAGACGTACCCACAGCGAGAAGCAATGAAACTGTCTCTTCGTGACCCTCTCTTGAAGCTTCCATCAAAGGAGTATACCCCTCGTCATTGACTTCTTCTATATCTGCGCCGTACCCAATTAGCAAGTGGGCCAACTCCGTATGTCCACCACAGGCTGCAAGCGTGAGTGGGGACTCAAAACTATCCTGTGGGATGTTGACATTTGCTCCGTGGGCCAGCAACAATCTAGCCACTTCGACATGACCCTCCATGGCAGCTTCCATCAAAGCAGTGTGCATTTCGTCCGTCCGGTGCTCGTGATCGGCGCCTGCTTCTAGTAAGAACCGCACCATGTCCGCATGACCCTGAAAGACGCGAACGAAGATGAGAATGGTCAACCAGGCAAAACAACAATGACTAAGAACGGAGAGGTTGACAGACACATACCATTCGAAGAGATAGAACTGTAAGATACCGTTGACGGTAAACAGCCGTCAAGTACACCTAATCCTCTTCCTTTTCAATCCCAAAGTCCGCCACTCGCCTGACCCACCCATTACCTCGCAGTCCCTGATATTAAGCTTCAGTTCTCCCTTACCGGAAGTAACTAGTTTTTTCTATCTCTTCCAAGGAGACCCAACTTTCGAATTCGCTTCCATCTGGTTTTTCCAGAAAGTTGTTCGACAGTATTGACATGTTCTCAGAGGAACCTCGTTGGGCTATCATCAAGCATTGAAAGCCTCTTGCCCAGTGGCCAGGATCCTCATCATAACCATTGACAGCACGAAATCAGTGTTCAACACCGATGCTTAGCTGCCGTACAACCATAATTTATTTGAAAATCTTATTATGAAGGAAAAAAGGCGGACTGGGAAAGGACTCAGTGCCAACCCACTATAATCATTCCGAGGTGCCTACACCTCCAACCACTCATTCAGGTAATCTGGATAGAAACTGACAAGATCGCCACTAACATCGGTTTGCAGCCATATCTTGTAGCGCCTCCAACCAAACTCAGTGAGGATCACGCGGTCCCTAACCTGGAGGGCAAGTAGCGCCGACAGCACCTGTGTTTCGTGATCTCATTCATACCCCTGTGCCAGGTCAAGGGCCACTTCTCTGCTTCCGCCATTCTGAATTGGGCATGGAAAAAGCACGCCCTTCCGGAAGACGATGGTTAGGCATGCGCAACACATGTCCCAACCAACTCACCTTCAGGTGTTTGACACATTTTTCAATGGAAGTACCCGGTGAACAAGCAAAAACTCGCATTCTGATTGCCTTGTTACGGATACCCCAACAGCCATCCACAGGAGCTACGGTTCTGAGACGACGATCGTCAAACACCTGAAGAATTCTCAGTTCAGCTGCTCGAACAGGCCGTCACACAACAAAACAGCCCGCACCGTATTTTGATATGCACGTCCCTTGAGATTCACGGATATACCGTTTCGACGCCATAGGTGTCTCAAATTAGCAAACGCGACCCAGGCTTTGGAGATCCGTGCAATGACCTCATCGTTCACTCTACAATCGGAACCAATACAGCTTCCAAGATACGTAAAACGCTCTACAACTTCCAGTGCCTCTCCATGGATTGCAAGTGGCCTGTGCAGTGACTGCATGTCCAGGAGCATGACCTTACACTTTGTGGATACAAAGTGCATAGCAAAGGATGGGATGACTTTGGTCGGTTCATCCAAAAACACTTGTGCTTTCTCCTCCTCTTCGAAGATGACAATGATGTCGTCTGCATATTCCAGACTATTTGAACGTCGGGGTTTCGGAGATCTTCCAGCGCTCGTCTCATCTCATTTCATCTATCACGAAGTTAAACAGGAATGCGGAGAGAAAACATCCCTGGCGGATACCACTTTGTGTACGGAAGTGTTTGGAGAGCTCGCTGTATACTCTTACACGTCGGGAAGTTCGGGAATACAAAGAGCTTATTACGTTTACCAGCTTTCGGGGCATTCCTTTGTAAGCAAGCGTGTCAAGAAGACTGACCAACGGAGTCGAAAGCGCATTGGAAATCCAGGAACACTGGAACTGCGGGCCACTTATTCGTATGACGTTGTTCTAGCACCTGATGCAGTGTGAAGATTTGGTCAACGCAACCCCTACCAGGCCGGAATCCCGCTTTCTGCTCTCGAGTCAGTATCTCGCGAGCTACTGTGAGGCGAGGAAGCACAACTGATGCCAACAGTCTCGTTACAATCGGGGTCAAGCTGAACCCCTGTGGTTACCAAACTACGCGCCCCTTTTTTGAAAACGGGCACTATCATCGATTCTCCCCAAGTGTCTGGGACAGACTCCTCTTTCCAAATGCAAGCAAACAGATCGGACAAGCGCTGACTGAGGACTTGAGCCCCGTCTTTGAAAAGTGCGGGTGGAAGGTCATCCGGACCAGGAGCTCGATGGGGCCTGAGAGAACATATGCAGTCGTAAACCTCCGAGGCCGTAGGTGGTTCCACGTTCACCGTCCAGGGTTCTACTTCACCTGTGTGCTCTAGATGAGTGCCGGCTGGTGGCCACGACAGCCCGCCGGTCAAAGCGTTCTTCCTTATTCGAGATGGTTGTTCCATTCTGATGCTTGATGGACCGGTCGCACAGATCAACTCAAACAATCTCCGGGCATTACCGGCGTTTTGGGCCCCTTCCATTTCTTTGGCTTTCTGTGTCCACCATACTTCACGGTCGGATCGCAAGCTCACTTTCACTTGACGTCTGATAACTTTTCGCACCGGGTTATGTTCGGGACCGGCTGGGATATTTCTTCGAGACTTAAGTAGTGCCACCGTCCGGTCTGATATCGAGTGCTTGGGTGCGCCTGGTCGGGCCGTGCCACAGACAAAATTCCCAGCACTATGCAAAGAAGTGGCAATCTCGTCCCAGTATGAGTTCACATCTGATGGTGGGGCATTTGGAAGAGACTAGAAGATGATTCTTGTAAGTTCGTCTGACATCCGGATCTGCCGGTCTTTCAGTTGCCAGGAAAGAAAAGAAAAGAAAGCGTTCAGCTGTAGCACCCTCCCGGTGCCTAACTGCCATGCCACCCGAAGGAAGCACGAGGGCTAGGATACTGCCAGGTTGCCCAAGCCTAGACAGGGGAAGTCGAGTGGCGGAGGTCGGATTCGAACCATGAACCTT